AGTAGCCACAAACAGGCATGCATATAAGTGGAATGCATATTTTTACCACGCTTTTATTTATTTTTTACCAGTTATTAACGTAACTTTAAAAAAATTCCCTGTAAATTCCAATTTCCTTCCACTTCTTAATAAGGTGATTCCTGTACGATCCCCTTCCAAATATGGGCAAGAAGGTAATGACAAGAAAGATGCAAAATTATGAATTTTACACGAGGAGAGGAGAGTCATGATAGACCAGTGCAACTCCAAGATTGATTTTTCCGCTGCTGAGAATTCTCATGTCTAGGTAACTGATCAGTTGCGAGTTTGCAATTTCATGCCACATACCTGATTATGCTGATCTGGCGGACTAGCCCTGGATTTGAATCTGCAAGCCCGGTTTCAAATCCATGGACCTAATTCTCAGTCCCCTTTCTGCAGAAGAGAATTACAGTGGCCCGTCTTGTCATGTGAGTTATGAGGATAACACAAATTAAGCATGAGAGAGAGCTCAGTCTCAATGGACATTACAAGTGGCAAAGCATTAGGTTTTATCTTCTGCTATCTGACATCCACCTGGCATGCAAAAAAAGGAAAACAGGTGGGGCGTATGCTTTTCATTTGTACCGCAACTCCAGGAAATAGACCTGGAGCTAAGGTACGTGCTTCTCCAAAGGCAAACAGGACTGCACACTTCAGAGGACAGAAACTGCCTCAAAGATTACCCAAACAAGCACCTCCTCCCCTCAGACAGAGATTTCCCTTCCCATGTTTGCTCTCAATCCAGAGAAAAGAACCCACAGGAAAATCTGCATAAAAGCCATTCAGTGAATTAAAACAATGCCCTGAACATTAAGGCTACCAAGAAACAGCTGGACAGAAACTCCTCCAAGCTAGAAGCAATCAAACTTTCCGAGGTTTCAGGGGAAGGGAAGCAAACCATTTAACATTTTTATGGGTGAGGGACTGCAAACTGACAACGCTAGCTTGCCAGCTACCTCCTTTGGGAAAAAGAAGAAGAAGAAGAGGAAACTTAACAAGACTAAACCGTTTTCAATCATGGCATAAGGAGGGCAGGACATCAGCACCCATGGATTTTCAGCATCAACTGGTACTCGCTGGAACACTGTTCAAACTTCAAGTTAAAGTAAAGCCTAAAATGGCTCAAGCCCAACACACCTAAGATGATCGCATCCAGCTATGTATTTTCAATCACAGGTGGCTGCTTGTCCTGAATCTTCTGGATAGGATGGTGGAGGCCAATTATTATTATTATTATTATTATTATTATTATTATTATTTGCATCGCCTGCTCAATCTTATTGCTTGCCCAAGTCCCTTTGAAAAACTACAACCCACAAAACCTGGTGTATTTTTGGATGACCCCTCAACCAAACGTATATATCTGGCTGCTAAGCAGAGGGCATTTTTAATTCTCCTCTTTTAAAAATAACAATGCTATGGACTGAGTACCTATTAAATAATTAGGATAATTACAGTGCCAACACCAGCTGGTGCTATATAAAGGTTCCCATATATCAATGCCATTCCTCAATGCAAGTATATTAAAAGCCTGCCATTAGTATAAAAACCTCCTTAAAGTGTATCTCAAATTTTCATTTTAGTTTTTAGACTGGGGTGGGGAACCTTTAGGCTATGGGGGCTCCAATTTGACCAGTGAGGGCATCCCCCCCCCCCAAATCACACCCATCAGCTGTTGCCACTGGTGATGTCAGCTGGTGGGGGGGAACTTCTTAGGAATCCTCTCTGGTCCAATCCCTTCAACCTCTGTAAAGTCTCTCTCTTTAAAAAAAGATAATGCAGCAAAAGCAAGGAGACCCTGTTTTCTTCTTTACTGCTGCACAACAGAGCAGTCCCTTTCAGAGCTGCTGTTTGCTTTATGCAGACACTGGCTCTGACAGGGACTGCTCTGTCATGCAGCGATGAAGAAACAGGGACTCTTTGAAGGAGTCTCCTCACCCACCCGCCTTCAAAAACCGCTGGAGCAATCTTTAAAGAGGGGAAGAGTTTGTTGCACAGAGCGTTCAGGTAGGATCACAGGGGCTGCCTTAAAGCAGGCGCCCTTTGCGCAATTAGCTTCCTGCTGCATGTGCTTTCATGGACAACTTCCTTCACTGATTGCAACCAGTCTCTGATGACACTGATTGCTGTCCACCCCTTAATTAGTTGGCTTTCCAGGTGCCACAGAACTTTTGTCTGATGCTGCTGGTTTTAAGATAGCCCCTCATTTGGAAAGTGTGGGATTAGTTACTTTCAATAAGAACGTTAACAAGTTTCTAGATAAAGTAATATATTGAGTTTACAACAGTGTGATCAACCTGCTTATAAAAAAAGATATACAAGATATTGATGTGCTAACCAAATTTTTTTTCTAAGCAGACATTTAGCGTTACATATTGCTCATATAATTGAAATTTCAAAACGCATGATCTCATAGTCACTGCAAGACCTTCGCTACAATAAGCTTCCAGATTCTTATATACATATATTTAAAAATCTCTCAGTGCACATTAAATAAAGATCTGCATAATTTCATGAGCACAAGACACAATGCCCACATTTATAATTGAAATCAAATTTCTTTCGCTCAGTTCTCATTCACTGAAGACTGAAAGGTTTGTTAATGTGTTAGGTCTCTCTGTCAGATTGCTTAAAAGCCTGGAGTTGTTTCTCCACCCAACCTTGAAGACTTTTCAGTATTTACTGTGAACGAAGCCAAGCAGTCACCTCTGGTTCTTATAAATGTTAACACGAACATGCAGAGAAAGGGGAGACTCTTTTCAAAGCTAACAGAATTATGTTCACCACTGAGCTGAGGACTGTTCCAAGAAGAAAGCATCTCGTTAGCTACCTTACTAAACATCTTAATATTGTCTAAACAAACCTCCCAGCAATTTATTCTGTTCACACCTTGTAGGCAACGAAGCGAAGTGCCTTTTCCTTGCACCCTCTCTCTCCAATCTGAGACACCCAACATATGGCTAAGTGCGAGTGAGCTGCATGCACCTCCCGTGTAAAGCACACACACACAAAACACAAGACGCAGAATATAAGGAAATGGAGTGATCACTTGGGGGACCAAGTTTCAGTGCCTCTCTCAGATTCTGACCCCAATGCCTGTGGTCTCTGCACACAGAGTTCTTTCTGCAGGATAAAAAGGGTAAACGGTCCCCTGACTATTAGGTCCAGTCGTGGACGACTCTGGGGTTGCGGCACTTATCTCGCTTTACTGGCTGAGAGAGCCGGCGTACAGCTTCCGAGTCATGTGGCCAGCATGACAAAGCCGCTTCTGGCGAGCCAGAGCAGCGCACGGAAATGCCGTTTACCTTCCCGCTGGAGCAGTACCTATTTATCTACTTGCACTTTGACGTGCTTCCGAACTGCTAGGTTGGTAGGAGCAGGAACCGAGCAACGGGAGCTCACCCCGTCACGGGGATTCAAACCGCCGACCTTCTGATCGGCAAGTCCTAGGCTCTGTGGTTTAACCCACAGCGCCACCCGCGTCTGCTGCAAATGCAATACTGAACAGCCGGGGGTCAGCTCCTGAACGACACTGCCGTGCCCTCATTCCTCCCTTGAGTCAAATCGTGAAAGCCCAAACAGTGCTTTAATTTTAATTTAATTTATTTGGATTTGCACGCTGCCTTTCATTATGCAGATCCAAGTTTGCAACAGAAATGTTTAGACCTTAAATGGCCAAATACAAAGCAATAAAATTTACCGAGGCCAGGGCGAGCTAATAATGTTGTTCCCCAGTTGTGCTTTTGCACAAGGGGGTGGAAGACAGTAGGTGCACCTGCCTCTAGGAAATGAGCTCCTGTCTGAGCAAAAGGACTGCCACTCTAAAACAAGTTGAGCTTGGCGTGCAACTACTTGGCACAGACACTCCGCTCGTGCCTCTTCCTGTTATTCCCTCAACAGGACTATTGATCCTGGGATTAACGGGAGAAACTGTCCACAAGATGACAAATCCTGCAGGCTTGACATACCTCAGGGCAGGCCGTGGCCTGCGGAACACACGAGGAGCGTGCCTGGTCTTAACCAGAGAGCCTCAGCTTTCTGGATCTGCTTCCAGTTCTTTGCCTGTGCAATAAGCCCTTCCAGCAATTATGGGCCCCATTAAACCAGGTTGTTTTGCCCTCTGTTTCTTGCATCCGGTTCCTGAGTTTCTGCTGAGCTTCTCACCCTCGATCCAAACTGGCTGAGCCTTTCGAGCCTGCCAAGCCCCTTGCCTGGGATCTGACCTTTCGTCTACCTGTTTTCAAGCCTATTACAGGTGCACCTAGAAAACAGGCAGGAATACCTGGCGGTTAAGTAATGCTAATATGTGCTAGCTTGGGTCTCTTCTAAGGGAAGCCGAGATATGGTATCTATGATTAATCACTTTGGTAGTTTTATCCTTGCGTTTTGCTTCATTTCTGCATCTGGCAGCATTTTCCTATGAAGCTGCAGTTTGATACTTGCCTTATCTAAGGTGAAATAAAATGAACTGCCCCCTTTTCACTATTACAGAGGAGGGGGGAAACCAGAAAGTAGCTTTCTGGCAGATGGATCAAACTTGGCCCTCCAGCTGTTTTGGGACTACAACTCCCATCATCCCTAGTTAACAGGACCAGTGGTCAGGGATAATGGGAACAGTAGTCCCAAAACAGCTGGAGGGTCACGTTTGGCCGTGCCTGCAACAAATTAAAGCAGAAGCCTGGCCACATGACATTACCAGTTAACAAAGGGGGTGGGGGTGCACAATGGGGGTGTCACATTTTACAGCAACCCTGTGTTCATCACCTTGCCAATTTATGCCCATAAGTACAGGGACGTCCAACTCCCAAGAGACTGTGATCTACTCCGGGTTGGGCGGGGGGGGGGGAGACTGGCAGTGATCTACCCATTTTGGGGGGAAGGGCTTCCCAAAGTTGTTGACATTTTTTTAAACGGTAAGTGTGCAGACAACAATGGAACACACACTAAATGCGATGCAGGAAACAACAAGAGGTGAGGGGGCGGATACATGATTGTAAACAACGTGAGCTATAAGGATCCTGCGATCGATCACGATCATCCAGAGGTCGACCTGTCAATCGCGGCTGACCGGTTGGACACCCCTGGAGTTATAACCAAACCTATCCCAGCCCATTTCAAGCAAGCTGGCGCTATCCTGGTAGGAAGTGGGGGTTGAGGGTAAACTCAAGCCTTTTGCCAAACACATTATACTATTGAGGTACTAAAACTCAGGGTGATGATAACAGAAGCCTAAAATTCCTTTACATCTAAACAACATACAGTGGTGCCTCGCAAGACGAAATTAATTCGTTCCGTGAATTTTTTCGTCTAGCGAATTTTTCGTCTTGCAAAGCACGAAATCCCATAGGAATGCATTGAAAATCAATTAATGCGTTCCTATGGTCAAAAAAAGTCCAAACAAAGCCAAATTTGGTACAACAAGAGTTTATTAAGTGCTCTTTAAAGTCACACATACTGTAAAGAGCATTTCAAAATTCAAACCCAGAATTTTTTTTAAAAAACAGCAGAGTTGCCCAATGGTCACAGAAAATCATAAAAATGCAGAAAAAAAACACAAGCTTCCAGATTCTTGCAACCCCTCCCCAACTGTTCCCCAGCCACCCACCACACAGAAATTCAAATCCAGAATTTTTTAAAAAACAGCAGAGTGGCCCAATGGTCACAGAAAATCATAAAAATGCAGAAAAAAACACACAAGCTTCCAGATTCTTGCAAACCCCTCCCCAACACCAAGTCCTTGAATTCCAAACACCCCAACCCAAAATCCAAAACCCCCCAAAAAAGTTTTAAAAGCTTAACTTACCAAATGGCTGCAAAAGAAGTTTTGGAAAAGCTTCAAAAATCACCAAAGTCTTTAAAAACCTCAAAAAAGGCTACTATGTACACTGCGTTCTATGAGCTGCTCCTCGAAGTCAAGTCACAACTGTATTAACGGTGTTAAGAAAAAGGAAACAAACTTGCAAGACGTTTTCGTCTTGCGAAGCAAGCCCATAGGGAAATTCGTCTTGTGAAGCAGCTCAAAAAAACGGAAAACCCTTTCGTCTACCGAGTTTTCCGTCTTGCGAGGCATTCGTCTTGCGGGGCACCACTGTAATTTACATATTATACAGGAACTAAGCTACATCTGGTGAACGTGTGGCACTTATAAGTAACACGAAAAGACCGCCATTAGAAACCTTTCATTGCATTTATTTTCCCAAATTGTTTATCATTTTAAATGCTTTTTATCCCACCTTTCTTAAAAAGTAAGCAGTACTGTAAGTAAGTTTACAAGTCAAGTAAGACAAAAACATGAACTGAACTCATTAACAGCAAACAATAAATATGAACAAATGCCAAGAGGTTTCAAGTCTCCTGCTGCGGGTTTCATAATCTAATGCATCAATAGATTCCAGAATTAATTCCTAAAATGTCTGCCTGGCGTGTGCCTTTGGGAAGAAAATGCATGGATGTGGGGCACAGGCCCACAACACAAATTTGTCTAACTGCCACCAGACAAATTCAGAGGGTAAGTGGATAGGACCTCACCTGCACAGCATTTTGAGTGCTCCCAGCCACCAAATGGAAAAAAAAAATTAAAAAGAAGAGGAAGAGACAGGAGACACCACTCCTGTTCATGGCCCTCCTGTGGTGGTATGTTTTATCACTGAACTAGAGAAGAGTATGTAATCATACGCTGCCAAAAGTGGCAAACCATCTTCAGAGATAGGAATACAGTGAGCTTAGGTGGCAAAGAGGCTGACTTGACTGATGTCTGCTATTACTTGTCACAGAAACAGGACGGTCTGGCTTAGCATTCAAATAAGCCACATGGTGAGCTACAGTCTCACATACTCATTGCCACTTTCTCCTCCGCCTCTGCAGCTGAGGGAAGGAGACTGAAAGTGTCAGCGCTCAGCTTTGAAGAAAGTGCAGTTTCCATTATGTTAGAATAAACTACACTTCCCTGAATACTAACTGTGGTTAGCTAAACCAGGATCTGAAACCGTTGCTTGATCCTGGTTTGTGTGAACTAACCACAGTTAGAATAAACCAGTTTTCAGACTTCAACCGCAACAGGAAACAGCAATTTGTTCAAAACCAAAAGTAAAAACTTTCACTGCCCTCTCTTAACACACAAAAGGGTGGGGAGGGCATATTAAACAGAGGCTCACCATAGTCCACTGTTTAGCAATACCTCTGACAGTTACCATATTAATGGCATGTATGTTTAAGAAGATGACTTGCTGAAGCTGCAGAACCGTTTCCATTCTTTCTGTGGGGTTTCTAACAGAAGGAACTGCATCCTCAAAAAACGACATTACTCAAAGTTCAGTCAGGTGGAAGATGCAATGGGAACAAAACAGTTGTTTTGAAAATTCACTGCCAATTTAGTGACTTACAAGTTGTAGCTTTTGGGGGGGGGTCATAATTGTAAGGGTCATGGGGTGTGCGGGTTGTTGGGAGAGAAACAGTACTTCTGGTGGGGAAAACACTGTATTCCTTCTAGGGTAGCTTGTCCAACTTTGGTCCCCATCCTGCACTCAGCTCTCACCTGTGGCTTCTAGAAGATATCAGTACGTGGCAGCAGCCACACCCTGGGAAACAGCTTTGACTGGCTGGCTAAACCAGGTGAGGGTAGCTTATGGGTCTCAAAGTTAGAGACTGCATGTGAAGACTGCTTCTAACAGATTGAGAAGTTGAGAGCAAGAGTGGGTCCAACAATCAAGAAGGCGGTTTCTGCACATGCTGTGCGGGAAGTGAGGGGCAGATGGGGCTCGTCAACCTGGGAGAAGGAAAACTCTGGCCCTAAACCTCTGCTGCCTTCTGGGATGTCTTCAGGAGAAGAAACGGCTACGGAGTAAACCCTACACAAATCTGGAGTGGGGTCCCTAAGACGCTTGGATGGCACCTTGTACATCTCCTTCTAGCAACTCCTGCAGCCAAGCTGGTGCCAAATGTATTGCTCTGTTTTCCTTTGGACCACATCAGCGAGGTCGAGAGGGGGGTCTTGTCGTTTTGGCAGCCCAGGACCTCCGCACACACTGCCCAGGCTTGCACCTGGGAAGGTCACTTTGGGTCTGCTAACACAGAGGTTTGACTTCAACTCCATAGGCGCATTCCATTGTCTCTCAAGACAGACAGATGCCGACAAATCGTAAGTGTTGAAAGCAATGATGGAAATACACCCCACTCCCTATCCCCAATAAGCCAGATGTTGATATGGCAGATTAGCATTCATCATGGGACAGAATAAGTGGGTTTTTCTCTGCTCACTGTCCATCAGGGCCATTCTCAGGCTACATCTTAACAAAAGCTCTTGGGTATGCTTAGCCTGGATAAGAGGAGAAACGTCTAAAGGGCTGTGCCATGGAGCCAACTTGTTTTCTCCAGCTCTGGAGAGTTGGACCCGAACCAATGGCTTCAAGTTACAATAAAAAAGATTACTATTTATTATTATTATTATTTATTTAATTTCTATACCGTCCTATACCCGAAGGTCCAAAGAAACATAAGGAAAAACTTTCTGACAGTATGAGCTGTTCAACAGTGGAATGGATTTCCTTGGAGGGTGGTGGACACTCCTTCCTTGGAGGTTTTTAAGCACAGAATGGATGACCATCTGTCATGGATGCTTTGGTTGGGATTCCTGCATTGCAGGGGGTTGGACTAGATGACCCTCTTGACCCCTTCCAACCCTTCAGTTCTATGATTCCTGCAATCAAGCAATTATCCTCTGTTTCTCAAGCCCAATGGCAGCTAGCAATCTGCACTGCAGTTGGGGCAAGGAAGCCATTCTGTTTCCAACATCCACCAAACTGGTGCTTGTGTGCATTAGAGGCGAGTTTGGTAACATCAAGTGCAACGTAACAGGGCTCGGTGTTGATAATACACTGAAAACAAATTCACAGAACAAGCAGCAAACAATGAAAAATAAGGATTCCTGCTTTGGGCAGTTCCATCAATTAGTTCCACATTAAGAAAGGCTTCTGTACAAAACTTATCTGACAGGTTTAAACAATTTAAACAGGTTTAAATTTAAACAGGTTTAAATTTTATTTTAATTAAGGAGTAAGGTATGAAATAATCTGGGAAACACAACTTACCTCTACCTTTCCAGAGGTGGAAGATAATTCATGAGGAAACTAAAATCAGACTCTTCAGTAAATCACATAAGCCGAGTAAAGGAATCTTAGAACTTCTGCAAACAGGTGCATCTATCGTCAATGGGCAGCTGTCAGCTTAAGTCTCCAGTGGAAGGCCTCAGCATCAATTACTGAATTCTGGAGAGGAAAAAGGCAAGTCTTCCAATTAGCTCAACAACCTTGGACTCAAATTCCAGATTAACCATGTCACAAATGAAAATACTTAATTTCCAGATGGCACTCATTGCATGGATCAAAAGTGTTCCCTATTCCTGCAATCCAGGCATAGATGGTGCTTCAACCAATCCTGGGGGACATCAGGACTTGTCCCCCCAAAGTCCCTGTACCTCCACATGCAAAACCAAACCAAAAACCAACCACTAAACTACATGCAGAGGTTATACTACTTCTAAGGAGAGGGGACACTTCAGAAAAGTGCTTTATACCAAGCCAGACCACTGATCCATCTAGCTTAATATTGTCTACAATATTGTTCTCCCTGCCCTACCTGGAGACACCAACGATTGAATCTGGGCAGTTTGTTTCTGCCTCTTCCTAGCAAAAGGTATTATGGAATACATATTGAAAACAAGTCGCAAAAAGGTCTGCTTCAACACCAGTGCTCTACCCATCTGGCTTCCAGTTCATTCCCCATGGAGCAGTAAGGCTGATGTGAGCTTTTCCACCAGCACCCCACTCAAAGACACTACATATGCCAGAGCTACAGAAAGGCACAATCCCCTTTCTCTCCTCATTGCCTTCTAGAACCCTGCTTTGATCAGATTTGCTTTCGAAAGCAATTAAGGCAATTGTGTACTTTTAGACCAGTGGAGGGCAAATGCTGGCCATTGGCCCAAAGACCAGAACAGCTTCTGAGAAGTATGTAGAATTCTTCTGTTAAGTTACCACCTGAATGAATGTAGGGATAAGTTCAAACATGCAACAGTATTAAAAGAAAAAGAAAAAAAGCAGTCTGTTAGAAAGACTCTTGTTTTGAACAGCTGGGATTTCCCCGGATGCAGAATTTCCAAGAAGGAAATGCACGGATTCCTGCACGTGCTGCTGTTGCATTGCATTTGAATCATGAGGGGCTGAAGCAGGGTCAACCTTTCTGCTGCGGATTCTGCAAAGACACCTAGCTATGGGCTGGCTCTCTTTCCTTTTGACATGGAGTCTCGAACTAGTGCTAAAACAGACAAGAGTGGCTGCCTGAATAGTCACTGTCTGTCTGCTGTGTATGCAAAAGATGAAAGTTAGAGGCAGGTGAAGACTTCTTCCTTCCACTCACCGACCAGTTCTTTTCTTTTCATTTTTAGTGTTTTCATTGTTCTATATGTTGTAGCAGCAGTTTTCTTGTTTTGCAGTGCCACCTTTCCCAGATAGTAATTTTAATATTCTCAGTGGGGATTTTGTTTTTCTTTAGTGTTTGGTTCAAATTGGAATTTTGTCACTGAGGTTAATGAATGTATTTAAAAATCACGTACTGTTGTATTTTTAATTATTACTTTAAGTTGCCTACAGGCACTTTGTGTTAGGAGATACAAAAATTTTGACAACAACCGAACCACAAAATAATAAAAAGCAGGTCCAATTCACTGCGGATTGTGTCCAACACCATGTGAGCTGAGTTCTGCCTGCACGATGGGACTTCCCCCTTTCTCTCCCTGCACACTCCCAAAATTTGCTCCCTGAATCCTCTGAAAGGGAGAGGACAGTTCCACTGTACAAACATAACAGCAGAAATGGAAACAGCCCCAGATTCTCAACCGTCGCGATTTCTGTCCAATTATCAAGAGTTATCAAAATATTTTGCTTTGGGCAGTAGCAATTTCAGAATAAAAATCCTGTAAGAGAAATGAAGTATGTCCAACTGGCGTTCAGCCATCTGCCACATTTATGAAACTTGATATGCTAATTTTATTAAGTGCATGGATAAAAAATTGCACGTTAGCTGCAGCCCACAATATTTATTCAAATCCTTTCTGCTGATCAAATTATCAGAGCTTGCTTTATTTGACCTCAATGCAAATGTGACATTACCATAGTGGTAGCCAAGAAAACACACTCCCATGTGAGTGTGGCTCCACACAGTTATTGCTACACCAGTAAACGTCAACACGTATGGAACACCCTTTTATCAGTGACACCTTTTTTACAAGAGATGCTGCAAGTTACAGTAATCCAGAGGCATTCCATGCAAAAGACAAAGTCACAAGGCTCAAAGTTTGCAAAAACAACTGTAGGCGCAAGGAGCCCCAGCCACATGGAAGTCATTTGCAGCCTGCACTGTACCAATCCCACATCTTGAATTGCTCCACGGATTATTTTAGATTCAGAGCACAAAGGTTTCCCCTCTAAGGACTCCTCCAGATGACCTGTTTATTGAGTATTTATTCTGATTTGCTTGCAGGGCAGTTATGCAACAGGGAAGATTCATCCTAATTTGTTTGCTGGGTGTATATACGTCTTCCCGTTAATCAGTCTTCACCACTGACTTTTCAGCACATTCCTCCATCACTTTCCTAACAACATTAAAAAAATAAAATAGATTTGTTGTCCTAGGATGTGATGGTTTGTGTATGCTCTTCGCAATAAGCACCCTCTGCTCACTCAGAGAGATATTTACAGTTCTTTATTTTACATATGTACAAGCAGCACAGTACAATCATGCATCCAAATTGTCCGGTTCAGATTCGGGGAGTGGTCTTCTCCTGTTTCTCCTCCAACAGAAAAGACGGGGCAGCTTCATGGGACGTCTCTGATCCCTGTGCTTTAACCTTCTCCTTTCCTGTCCTGAAGGCACAGGCACAGGCTCTCCGTCTGTTCCTGAGCTCCCTGTGCGGTGCTGGGGCTCTGCTTCAACATCGGAGAGCCTTCCCACCTCCTGGCTCTCTACCTCTTCCCCTTCCATCACTTCCTCTCTGTCTCCTTCTGACTGTTCCCGCTCTGACTCTTCTCCTCCCCCCGACTCAAAGGCGTTCCTTGGCATAGGGCGGCAGAGTTCTTTAGCCCAGTTCAATTGTGCAAACCTAAATTTCCATTATTTGCTTGAATCCCTCCTGCAACATTGACAGTCTGGCGGTGCCCTAAAAATCATTATACAAGTCCTCTCTCCTGTACTCCAAAATGCATTGAAAAAGGGCTTTTGGCTTATTAATATAAATCTCTACTAGAAAACTAAAAAAAAAAACCACACCCAACAACCCTTGTAAAGAACAAGTAGTGATCCCAGAGGATGCATGTGCTGCAGAGGCAAGAAGCAATCTTGGAAAGCGACTGTTTGGAGCCTTCCCTTCCTCCACTTCCCACCTAGAAAAATCAAGGTTGTGTTTCTTTTCTGCAAGTGTTGGAACAACCCATTTAGTTTAAAACCAGTAATAGGCATTGCAGAACGGGGAAAATCTCTTCTCCTCTTTGGCCTGGTGACATCTTATTATAAGCGCAACTGCAATTCAAAGATAATTAACACCCACAAATGGTTCTTGAAGGCAATCCACCTATTATGCTTGAATTTCTCTTCCCTTCCCAAGGCCTACGCATTTGCCAAAAGATGTTTTCGTTACTTGCAGATTTTCTTCTTCTTCTTTATACCGCCACTAGACCACATTAATGGATGCCAAGGTCTTTTGCTTCCTTAATGTCATCACAAGCTGTTGCTTCCAGAGTCATCTGCCTTTGAGTGATTCAGCAGAGATGATCGGCTGTGGGAGGATTTAACCGGTTTTAAGATGCATCTTGATGCTCCTTCCATGCACGTAATAAAGTGCGACTGACAGAAACTGAACTTCAACCTGCTACAAGTTAATTACTACTAATAGCAATAATTGGTTCAGCGTTATATTTTGCCCCATGCATTAAGCCACAAACATTCTCTCCTTGTAAACCACCCGTGAACTCGAGAGTCCATGGTTCGTCCAACAAGTCTTTGGCATCTGAAACCAGATTCCATGGAACCTACTCTCTTATTAAGGGAATCAGAACAGAATCATTAAAAAAAAAAAAGTTTAACCAACAAAGGCAGTTGACACCTGAACAAAATAACCCATGGGATATACATGACAGCATTGCACAGAATAATTTATTCAATACTGCCCCCCATATGCTAAAAAAGAAACACTTCAACATCCACAGGCTACAAAGACCATGAAATCATTCCTGCTCTCTTGAAATTCCCCAGAAACAGGCACTGGGAGCAAGGGGAGCAATGCTAAACTCCAGCCTCAACAGGCTCCCTGTTGAAATTCAACCTGCTCCAGTTCTAAACAGCTGCATTCTGCATTACAGATACGGCCAACCACTCCAAAGAGGAATTTTTCACGCTCTCTCCACTATTAAGATTTGATAGTTTATAACAGAAACCCCAACAGCCTTGAGCAGATGTCGCTGTCACTTTCTCTGCCAAAATTCATAACTTTTGATGGGAAATAGTACTTTGGTGTGTTTTTTTTAATACAGCCAGCAATAAAATGAAAGATTATTATAATTTACTAAGATTCTAAAGAATGATGACTACTGCACATTACCAGTTTTAATTTTATCATTCTAGTTGTATCTGATGGATTATGCAAAGAAGTCTAAAATGCACTTTTATGGCGACTCAGTTCATTTTGAGGGTCCCCCCCTCCAGCCCTAATTAGAAAAGGCAGAAATTTCCTTTCCTCTAATAGAGCTCAAGTAATATGCCTCAAATTATTTACCTTTCCATCTCCTCAGAATGAAGCAACAGCTCATTCTAAGATCTTTTGAATGAAGAATAAAAGTAGAATACTCTGTATTTCTATTATAAATTTAACAATCCAAATACAATCACTTTTCAAGAGGCCCTTCTCTCTTGCCGATCGCTTTGCTACTGCTCAGAGCACAGGACCAGCAGCTTCTCACTCCTAAAAGGGAAGGAGTTTACTACCACAGAAATGGGATTAAGAACAAACAGCTGCGAATGTATAAATGGAAATGAAGAACAGATAAGGCTGGATATAAGCAGTAGTTTCCCCCCACACTGGTGGAAAGAAGAGATCTTCACACAGAAAGCTGCTAGCACCTGCAAACTGAGGTTTAAATAGTCAAGGGTTTGCCCTGTGCTTTCATGTTCAGGTGCCGAAATCAGTCAAAAGGGGGCCCTCTTGGTAGCTCCTCTGCCCTCAGAGGTGGCAGGGGGGCTGGCAGCTGAGGAGTGGGCCTTCTCCATGGGCAGAGCCAAGGGAGGGCAGGGAGGGGCAGCTGCCACCCCAAGTCAATAAAAATACATAGCAAACTGAAGTTCTGCCACCCCTAACAAAAGGCCTGCCCCTCCCAACAAAAAGCCTACCCCCCCCAACAAAAATCTTGGCTACGTCCATGGCCTTCTCTGTGGCAGCCCCTAAGTTGAGGACATCCCTCCCGACAGAAGTACATCTGGCACCTTTCTTATACAACTTTCAGAGAATGTTGAAGACGCACCTCTCTACCCTGGCTTTTGACACTTGGGCCATATGTTTGAAGGATGCACCTAATAATAATAATAATAATAATAATAATAATAATATATTATTTATACCCCGCCCATCTGGCTGGGTTTTCCCAGCCACTCTGGGCGGCTTCCAACAAAATATTAAAATACAATAGTCCGTCAAACATTAAAAGCTTCCCTAAAAAGGGCTGCCTTCAGATGTCTTCTAAAAGTTTGGTAATTGTTTTTCTCTTTGACATCTGGTGGGAGGGCGTTTCACAGGGTTAGGGTTGAAAAGTTGTTTCAAACTGTTTTTAATACTGCATTTTAAAGATGCCACTCGCCTCAGGACCTTAGGGTGAAGAGTGGCAGGCAAGCAAACAGGCAGGTAGACAGACAGGGCACCTTGTGCCTCCGCAGAAAGCACACCTATGGTATCCTTCCTTGGTTCCTGTAGTTTGCTACAGAAGAACAAGAAGTGCCCTGTCCCCAGCACAATGCCACAGAGGCAAAGGCAGGAGATACGAGAAGCAGAATTACACTGGAAAGAGCCCTTCCTATCTCAGACCCACAACTATACTGGAATTACTTTTAACTTCTTTTATATATGGAATCGTTCTTAAATGTTTGCATTGTTTTTATATCTGGAATTGTTCCTTCCTTGTTGTTTACACTTTTCTTGTTTTATTACTGTATACGTATTTTATTGCTATAACCCGTGCTGGGATCTTTAGGTAAAGGGCAGGTAAGCAATCTAACGAATAAACAATCATATCATATCCCGCTACCAGTCTCCTATGTTAACAGCCATATTGTCAGTACTTTATCTATTATAAGAAAGTCGTGTTTGCCTGAATGGCCCTGAGGAGGTTCTAAATGTTAAGATCACTTATTTCACTGGAGAAATCGGTGAAGCAGGTAGAACAGAACACAAATAAGAATACATTTGTCAGTGGGGTTTGAATGAGAGAAGGAATGCACTTCTGAATGTAAGAAACAGAACAGAATTCCAAAGGGAGAATTGGGAAGACTGTGAACTTTTAGATAGAAAAAGAGAGGGTCACAAACATTTAGTCAATGCTGGTTATGTGCCAACGTCACTGGGAGCAAACTACAGTGGTACCTTGGTTCTCAAATGCCTTGGTACTCAAACACTGAAAACCCGGAAGCAAGTGTTCTGGTTTGCGAATGTTTTTTGGAAGCCGAACTGCTCCGTTTTGAATGTTACGCTTCCGATTTGAGTGCCACTTACGTTTTGAGTGTTATGCTGAGGTCTGTCTGTTTTTGCTATTTATTTTGTGTTTTTGTTTTTGTGGCTCTTTTGTTTTTGTGACCACGTGGAACCTAGTTCTGCTATTGATTGATTGATTGATTGATTGATTGTGTGACTGCAGTACATTGTTTATTGCTTTCATTTTATGGATCAATGGTCCCGTTAGTAAAATTCATGTTAAATTGCTGTTTTAGGGGTTGCTTTTAAAAGTCTGGAACGGATTAATCCATTTTGCATTACTTTCTATGGGAAAGCGCACCTTGGTTTTGGAACGCTTTGGTTTTGGAACGGACTTCCGGAACGGATTAAGTTTGAGAACCAAGGTACCACTGTAATGCCCTCTGGAATGAAGGCAATGTTTTGTGATTAGGCATTTCACCACTTTTCAAAACAAACACCAAAAATAAGATCCTGGCGTATCTTTTGGCACCCGATTCAAAAGAGGATAAAACACTATGCCTTCTGAGAAAGCCTTGCTCTCACCGTGTAAGGGCTTTATTTGGCCTCAATGATGCAGCCAAATGGATTGACTACATAACATTGCACCATCACATTCACTAAATGTTTCCCAACTAGCTGGGAAGCCCTAACCCAACCACAGGGGGCAGGGGATGGGGGTTGAGAGAGAAGGAAAATAATTCTGAGCAGGAAATGGAACAAAGGACAATGACTGGTAAATTTTCTAAGATGTTATTACTCTCAATTAAGGATTCTTTTCATAGTTTAAAGCCAGAAAAGGAAAAAGGGGTGCATTTGGTTCTGTTCTTGAATACAGGTTTACGATTGGCAAAGGCTTTGTGCCAGGCTTTTATTACATTCAGTCACCTGTCCCCACCTTGCAATATAATTATATTTTAAATATGTTGATAACACAGTAATGTGATAGATCCAAGTACATAAACAGAGGGGATATGAATACAAACCAGGCTTGTTTATTATAATCCTAGGTTGATCATTAAACATACCAAAGCAAACAAACGATATTGTACAACTCCGTGAAGGTAGGGTAGCCAAGCCATGACCAAGAACTTGAGTGTATAATTAAAAATGTGGGCAGAAAAGCTAATTACACATAACCAAAACACACAAACACACACCTCAAAAGGGGGGGGGGACACGAAGTGCCCAGTATGGAGCTCACAGTACAAGTAAGATTTCTGCCAGGAATTGTCCATCTCTGGCTAAATAGTTATCTTCCTGTGAGTTTAGCGAGTCAAAAAGGGAGGGTTTTTTCTGCTTTATTTTCTGTGGAGTTTTTTTCCATTTCATAAGTCCATTAGTAGCAACAAATGGGTGTCAACTGCAAATGCAATATTAAGGAAGCTTAGCAATTTCAACATTTTTAGCTTGTTTACCCAATACAAGTTAAACGAACATGCTCAATTAGATCACTGTAATTTATGGAAAAATATTGTAGAATTTCGGCCTGTGCAAATCACCCTAATTTCTTCCCCGATTCAAACGTTTCTGGAGAACCCAGCAGCACCCTAAAAAGCAGCTCTGTGTGCCCCACCCACCCACGGCAAAGAAAAAGCATAAATTGAGACATTCACTGGATTAAAGGCTATTTCCCCCTGCAGAGGAGCGTGTTTCACAATGGTTTGTAATACTTTGGTAAACTTCCTTAATGGTCAGCTGCCAGCAGAAGCCAGCAATGCCACAGCCTCTTTAAGCCCTTGACCACTGTCCAAATGAAGTACCTAAGAAGTTATGGCAAAACCACCTTATATAGAATTTCAGCCCCCTCACTACACTATATTCCCCACCTCATATCAGTCAAGAAGCTATACAGCTGGGATGCTTCTCCTCCTATAATCTTTCATTAGATTACAGTGGGTGGCGAACGGATGGGGAAGAGTAAAGGCAATGGATGGGAGAGTAATCGGATGAGCCGGATTGCTGTACCAGCAGTAGGCTTGCATACCCCACCCCTTCAACCCTTTTCTCCAAAAGGGCACTGGAAAATATAACTAACAGCAAACTAGAAACATGACAGACATGAACAGGTCAACGCACAGTGCAGAGTGAATGTGAGATCTGGCCTGAGAATCTTTGGCATTGGCACATAAATAAAACTGTGGAAAAATCAAATTCATTCTATATACATTCTGAAAGGATTCAATGCAGAATTACTGGGTGACCAAGGCAGAATTTCCAAAATGGCTCAAGACTCACCAGCTCAAATTGTTGGTTATTTTAATACATCAGTATCTTCAAATGACTACAATATATCAGGATAATAATTTACAGGATACGCAACAGAATAAGGTTTGAATAGAATGCCATGGAGAGATGGACTGGGAAGTCCTGAGAGAAGTGACTTGCAATGGATAATGTTTGATGTATGTACAGTGGTGCCCCGCAAGACGAATGCCTCGCAAGACGAAAAACTCGCTAGACGAAAGGGTTTTGCGTTTTTTGAGTCGTTCCGCAAGATGAATTTCCCTATGGGCTTGCTTCGCAAGACGAAACGTCTTGCGAGTTCTTGCGAGTTTGTTTCCTTTTCCTTAAAGCCGCTAAGCCGTTAATAGCCGCTAAGCCGCTAATAGCCGCTAATGGGTCCAGTTCTTCCCAACATTCTGCCTGTAAGTGTCTTCTGCCTATCTAACTATGTTCATAGGATTTCCCCCAAACCAATCATATCTTGAAATGTTTTCCCAACAGTTAAGGAGACAAGCCCCCCAAAAGAAGAGTTAGCCCAACAGGACCTCATTTGCAGGCAAACATTGTTCAAATGAAATATCACACCATACTAATGTTAACATACGTTTGTCACTGAGCAAACACCCTGGATAAGCTGTTGTTGGTATCTGTCTGTCTTGAGAAACAATGGAGTATGCCTCTAGGGGTGAAGTCAAAACAGCTGTGTTAGCAGCACTGAAGTGACATCTTCAGTGCGTAAGCCTGGGCAGTGTGTCTGGAGATTCTGGGCTGCCCAGATGACAAGACCAAAGGAAAGCAGAGCAATTTGCTTGGCACCAGTAACTGCCTTCTTGACCATTGGACCTACTATTAGTCTAATCTGCTCAATCCACAGAAACAATGCAAGGAAACTCCCTAGCGGTCTCACCAAGGTTTTGATATCCATCGGCTACCCTCACCTGGTTTAGCCATCCAGTCGAAGCTGTTCCCCGGGTGTGGCCACTGTCACATGCTGACAGCTTCTAGAAGCCACAGGTGCACTCATGTAATAATTCACCCAAGCTATGTGCATAACTGGGCCAACTTCCTTACTGCTCCAGAGAGAAAGCTAGAATAGTGCTGGCGTAGGTTAAGCCAACCACAAGCCTAGCATGAAATGTTCAACCTAGGCTTGTAAATGTTTGCTCTCTGAGCCATGCCAACAAAGAGCATGCAATCATTAGGTGGGGCAGGGGATGGTGGCTTGGAATCAGGCCGGCAGCTTGACTATGGCTAACACTTCCTAAGGTGCTAAGCCAGAGGGCACAGCTTTAAAAACTAAGGCAAGATGGAACTCCACCGGCTCAAAAGGAAGCTGCAGTATGAACCTCTGGAAACCTCCACTGATGGCCTCGCAACATCACAGAGATGAGGCAGCAATGCTAACAACTTGCAATCTGCCCCAGCGACACAGAGTATTGACTCCCTTCACAGAATGGAGATGTGAATTAGAAGCATGACACTTGGTCACAGTTCCAAAACACAAATGGGAAGAGGTAGCAGTGCCTGTGTCCTATTTACATAGAAAACGGCTGATCTTTAAATAAGATATGTGTAAAGCCATTAAGAAAACAGGCAGGGAGGAGGCCTTGAGAGCTCTTTGGACAGCCTCTCACATCACGATAATAAGACGCTATTATATATTCGGCTGTTTTACAGCTGTTAAAAGCTTTTAGAATTATCCAGTAACAAACTTGTATCCTTTCCAATCTCTCTCAGCATGACAGAGTAGATGGGACTCCTTCTGTGCTCCACTTTGTAAGACTAATAAAAACTTTCCACTTCCATCTCAGAGCTTTTTTTAATGCCATTAAGCTACAAAGCTTCTCTGATTGAACATCCCAGCAAAGTGAGCACATTATTAGTGTTCAGATTTGTCTGCATCTCACCAAACTGAATTAGGAATAGCCCATTTAATTGCAAAATTAATTTAGCAAAGCAGCAGAGCTTTTGAACCAGTGAATTAAAGGATACAAGAAGGGCATTTGACCATCACCTGTTGTAGTGAATGAGTTGCTCCAGAACAAGGGAGCAGATGTCAAATACTCTGTCCTTTGCAAATGAAAAGTAAAAAGGGGTTTTACCACTGCAAGGAAGAGTTTGGCAGGCTTGTGACCCCAAAGAAGAAATACTTGTTGCTTTATCCTCCCTTCAGAGGATCAGAGAAATGTTAAAAAGTAGACACTATTTATTTGCAGCGCCAAAGTGGCTTTGTGAAGCATACCACTATACTGCAAAATCTCTCAAAGGCCTTGCATGACTGGCAGCTTCCCATGCCCCTGTGTATCATCAGAACAGGTCAATTGCTAACCGGTTTGAATAAAACTGGGCACATCCAGGAATCCAAGTGCAGTTCACAGGATGGTTTTCGAACAAGTTTCATAGATACCCCAGGGGGTGCAAAATCCATTTTCACATGCGAGCCCACAGGACTAACCTCAAAGCCATCTGCTGTGGTAAAATCAAAGTTTCATATGGCAAGGCTACAGCAGGCCAGAAGGCTTCCAGGCAAGATCAAGCAGAAGAGCTCATAAGAGATCCATCTTTTGCTTGCTTGTCCACCTCCTTGCACCAGCATCCCTTAGCAAGATGAGCAAAGAATCATAGAATTGTAGCGCTGGAAGGGATCCCAAAGGTCCTCTAGTCCAGACCTCCTCAACCTTGGCCTTCCAGATGTTTTGGGCCTACAACTCCCATGATCCCTAGCTTAGCAGGGCCAGTGGTCAGGGATGATGGGAACTGTAGTCTCAAAACATCTGGAGGGCCGAAGTTGAGGAAGCCTGCTCTAGTCCAACCCTCTGCAATGCAGGAATCTCAGTTGAAGCATCCATGACATGTAGCCATCCAACCTCTGCTTTAAAACCTCCAAGGAAGGAGAGTCCACAACCCGACCGAGGGAGGTTGCATGGCAACAGGGAGAGCATGACAGTACTTGTGAATCCTGCTGGATAGGTGCTTAAGACCACTTGACCATAGAGCTCTCTTACGGATTAAGATTTGCTTGGGGGAAAGTCCAGTGCTTCAGCCTTCTTGAGTTTGGCCTCCACTTTCTTGGGTCTTTGACATTCCCTCCCTGCTTGGCTAAGTAGCCAGGTCTGTCTGGTTACCCTGCCAGCCAGATGCTGGTGAAAGTCCAGGAGAGGCTGGAAGTGAAAGCAGCATGAACCCAATTATGTGCAAGTCATTCCCCTCAGAAAGTGGAGAAAGTTCGTGCAGAATGGGCGTGCATGCGCATGACTGCATCACATTACAAGGCTGGGAGAGGCACACCAGCTCCTTACCATGCATATCCCTTCTTTGTTTTACACACTTCTATGCCTCCCTTCAATATAAATAAATATTATCAGGGTGGCTCATGCAGCAACATAAAGACAGGATGTTAGCAAATGGCAATGCTGTCCAGTCGGGTGTGCACTAGCCACAGAAAACTAGCGCAGCTAAATGTATGAACCAATAACAAAAGAGGCTGTTTCTGAAGATAGGTGGCACACATTAATTCTGCGTAGTCAAATACCTGCAGCAGAAGGAAACTATGACTGAACATCTGCATGTTTAAAAAAGAACCCCGCACGCCGGCTGGATTTTCTCTATCCCAAGGCAAGCCACTTACAAATCTTTTATTTGTGTTTTCAATCAGGCTACAGCAAATTAACTCCCTGGTGTTTGAAGTCTGAAGCAAGCTTGCTTCATCATAATTGCTGCTTATTCATATACAAGCAGAAGCTTGTGCCAACTGAGCTCGCTCTTGTCCTGGGAGAAGGGAATGTAATAAAGTCTACCGCACTGTACATTTCCAAAGATGCTTCAGAAGATCTTCCTCTCTCATCTACTGTAAAACACTTCTTTCACCCAGAGGAGACTGTTTTTCAGCAATGCAACCCTGCCGAGGCTTTTCAAGGCTGATTCACACAAAAGCAGGAGGAAGCACATGGACATATGGGTACCTCAAGCTCAGGCATGTGAATTCAAGGGTCGAAATATCCGAGGTTCTCTAGAACAGTACAAGGCAGCGATTACTATTAGCCAGTAGCAGCTAAAAATGGACCTGCATCACCATATGCTGGAAATAAACCACCACCATGTCCTGCTATTGAACTTCTCAGGAGCATCCCTTTGGTTGCTGTTGGGAGACATGATACTGAGTGAAGCAACTCCAGGAGGGATCCAGCAAGGTAACTGTGTCCCCACGTACCTAATGCAGTATTCATGTCAACAGCACCAAGTCTGTGCCAGCTGCGTATCTTGAGAACCACAACCATAAAAATGAAATGCTAGTTTGGCTTATTAATGGCTAGAGCAGCCTGCCTCAACCTTGGGTCCCTAGATGCTGCTGGACTACAACTCCCATCATTCCCAGCCAACATGGCCTGTGGTCAGGGATGATGGGAGCAGTAGTCCAAGAACCTCTGGGGACCCAAGGCTGAGAAAGTAGGGGGTAGAGTAGATCAGACTTCAAATCCCCATGTGGTCATGAAGTTTGCCAGGTAACTGTGGGGTCAGTCACAAACTCTGCCCAACCTACCTCATGAGATAGTGAGGTGTGCAACACCTGAACTCCTTGGAGGGAGGGCTGGATAGAAATATTAACCCGTTTTTTAAAAAAATTGAGCAGCCCTGCTATATGAAACCAGAAAATCCATTTGGAGCAGCTTTTTATTTCCAATGGCATCCACTCAGACACCACTTCTGGAAGCTCACAAGCGGAGTATCAAGGACTGCTTTTACCTGCTGCTTCCCCACCTCCAGAAACTGCCTCTCAACATGGAGTTTCCCATATTGCCATTGGGAATAAAAGCCATTGGTAGACTACAACTTCCTCCCTGCAGCTGCCCAATCCTCTTTTAAAGTCATCTAAACCCATGGCAAATCACACCATCTTGTGGCAACATTACTTATGCACTGTGTGAAGCAGCCTCTGCCAACCTAGGGCTTTGAACACTCAACAGAGCTTCGCGGTATCTCAGCAATTCTTACAGCAAACCCGTGAGAGCACCCGGCTCTTAACTCAGTCTCACAGACATTGCATTAGACCAGCTCTATCATTTATACCTCCCACATCTTGACCTCTCTACCCTCAACTGGCCGTAATCGTAGAACAGTGCTTGGATCACACAAGTAAATACAAGGCTGAAATAAACTGAAGATCTCTAGCTCCAATATACTAGGGGTGGTTAAACTGCGGCCCTCCAGATGTTGCTGAACTACAGCTCCTATCAGACGGAACCAGCACAGCCAAAGGCCAGGGATTGTGGGAGTTGTAGTTCAGCGATACAGTGGTGCCTCGCAAGACGAAATTAATCCGTTCCGCGAGAGTCTTCGTCTAGCGGTTTTTTCGTCTTGCGAAGCAACCCTATTAGCGGCTTAACGGATTAGCGCTATTAGCGGTTTAGCGGCTATTAAAGGCTTATCGGCTTATCGGATTAGCTGCTAAAAGGCTATTAAAGGCTTAGCGGCTTAGATAAAGGGGGGAAAAGCGAAAAAAAAATCTCAAGACTCGCAAGACATTTTCGTCTTGCGAAGCAAGCCCATAGGGAAATTCGTCCTGCGAAGCAACTCAAAAACGGAAAACCCTTTCGTCTAGCGGGTTTTCCGTCTTGCGAGGCATTCGTCTTGCGGGGCACCACTGTATCTGAAAGACCACCACCCCTGAAATACAGGATCTGCAGGAAACAAGATTTAAAAGGAACCAAAGCAAAGGGGCAACTCTGACCCAAGGTCACAACTTAGCTTTTCGTCATCAAGCGCATTTTGCTTTACAAATCATCTCCAACAAGCCAATAAACATCTACATACCAAACTGAGGAGTTCCAACGACACAAATCAGAAGCCATGTGAACCAAATAAACCTAGCTTGGAAGATCTGGAAGTCATTCCCCATTCCTTCCTTCCTCCCGCAATCCCTTTTATTCCATTTGCATGTATTCAGTGTCTTCCCCTCTGAAGAAGAAAGGAATTGCTCTTGCAGTAATAAGAACAGGCTGCTGCAGCGCCCTAATTCTGCGCTCCCTCCTTTCCATGTAGATGTGGCATCCTGACAGCTACGCCGCTGTGTGTCCCATTTCCAGCCTCAGCTGGGAGGTCTGCACTTAATAGGCTGCAAAAGCAGCAGAAAAAATACTGATTGGCTCCCCTTTACAAAGAAGAGCCAAAAGCATTTACACTTTTTAATTGAACCCGGCGCATCATACAGCACCTGCACTGCTTTTTTAAAAAATAAATAAAAAATAAAGGGCCCGCGTAAGTCCTCTAAGGAAGAGAAAAGGCTTTCTTCATAACTAGTATAGAGAGACACTTTAAACTAGGGGAAGAAGCACAGGTTAGTCCTGGAGAGGCAAGCACACGCTTTCCAGACCGAAAAAGGTTATAGCAACAGTGGATGTTTTTACCTTCAACCCTTCCCTGCTTCGTCCCCAGCAGGGCATTTGCCCCAAGATCTGAAGAGCCACGGATCCTGCTCAGATCCCATCAGCCTCACTGTTGGAAAGAAGTTCTAGGGCTGAACCCCTCATGGTTTGGAAACCATGCCTCTGTGTTGACAAGCTGCAAACGCTAACGGAGCACAGCTAGCAAGTTCTCATTTCTGAGAGAAAGGAAAACAGGAGCAGCTGACATGCAACGCTGTTGCCTCCACTGCAACTTCCCATACCTCTCATTGTAACAGCACAGGCTTGCAATGCTTAGATTACATGGGTAGGCAAACTAAGGACCGGGGGCCAGATCTGGCCCAATCACCTTCTAAATCCAGCCTGTGGACAGTCCGGGAATCAGCGTGCTTTTACATGAGTAGAATGTGTCCTTTTATTTAAAATGCATCTCTGGGTTATTTGTGGGGCATAGGAATATAGTCCAGCCCCCCACAAGGTCTGAGGGACAGTGGACCGGCCCCCTGCTGAAAAAGTTTGCTGTCCCCTGGCTTGGAGCATGTTGGCATCTTGTTTTCTGTTTTTTCCTGTACCCCCAAAATGTTGTGTTGCCTAAGTATTGGATTCCTTGTGCCGGATTCAGCTTATGGGCACTTGCAACATATGCAAACAGGTATGGTACAGGCACGACCGTGCTGTACATTGCACCATGTTGAACCCAACCTCCTACTTCCTCCAACTAAATATACTGCTTGGAGGGATAATTCTAGAAATCCACATCAGCACTATCGGAGCCTTGCCCTTCCGCTTTCTATAAAAGGAGAAGTTTAAGGGGGTTTCCTCGAAGTTAGAATTTGCACAGCTGCTCCCAGTTCAGCACCAGCCATTGCAACAAGAAATCTCTGGCTCCAAAGTGAAATACAAAATGGGGGAGGCATCAGGGAAACAGAAGCCCTAGCTGAGCTACTAAACATGGAAGTTACAGCTAAGCCTAACAACAGACACGGCCTCTTTCAAGTATTTCAACAGCACATCTACCCAAGAGGAGATCCCGGTGAATGACACAGATTCTTATATAATCTTTAATACATACTTGCTATTAGTTTTTAAGGAAGCTATGAATGGGCTTACGCCAAATGAAAACAACCTATTAAAATAAAATCACATAGGAATCTGAAATGCATTATTAGGTGAGCTCAGAAGTACAAAACACACAGCGCACCTGTTGCTTCTTGTAGTTGCTCACCTGCCAGGTACTTTCCAAAAAGGCTGGGGGTGGGGATACAGGTGGGAATACTTTATTAATCTATATCGTTCAGTTTCCCAATCTAAAAGTGAAATGACTAAGGAAACATGGTCATAAACGTTTGACATACAAAGCGCAGTTCGCAAGTTTTGGATGGCTTCACAAAGACAGCCAAAATAATTTCGTTTGATTCTACTGCCTGGTGCTTTAAATCTGCAGTCGAGTTAGTTTCCTGGACACAGCGCTATTAGTTTCTTATGTGCAAGGATGAAGGCGAACGTGGGGGGAGAGATCTGAGGTTTAATTCTTGCACCAATATTCTTCTGACATGCATTCACTTTATAGCGTTCTTTGGTGTGCTTAATCTAATAAAAAAAAAGTTTATTAAAAAAATAAACCAGAACATGTGTTTTACAGTTCTCCAGTATGAGGAAAACTCGCTTATACACAATCCTTCACAGACCGGAGTTATAAAGCTTACAGAGCTGTTGGGGGAAGGGGGGAGCGAAGATAGATTTGATGCAGCAGAATTTAATTAATACGTCACATTCTGGAGCTAGTGTACATTGTGAACGTTTAAATGATTTCCTGACTGCTAAACGTTCTTAACCAGCAAAATAGAGCTGTTTGTGACTGGACAAGAGACGTGATGAAAAATGATTAAGTGGCTGATTAAGTGATTGATGACTACTGCTGCCTGTTTGCAATGACAATTGTGGATTCTCTCCCAAAGGGAAAGGACCAGATTTGTGCATGATGGAGATCTGCAAACAATGTAGTTCATGTGGAAGAGGGTTGCATCTTCTGAAGACCAGGACTCCATAAAGCCACTCACTCACTAGACAGAGGTGAGAGATCCTGCTCTCTTCCCAAATGTCTGGCTAGCTCCCCACACATCTTGGGCTCTTTTGCTGGAAGCAGGAGAGAAGGAGAGAAAATTATTTGGGGGGTGGATCCCTTTTCTTTACTTGTTCTTTTCTTAAGGTAAAGCGTTTGTTTTAAAAGTTGCACACACAAATTCACAGTTAACTGAGTAAATGATCCTGATTTGCCGTGAGGAGCTGCAAGAGATGCGACGTCTCCAAAATAGGACTTCAGGTGGCTGAACTGTCAGCCGGCATTCTGTCAAAGCAAGGACAGCTTTGAGAGGGAGGCCTTGTACATTGACACAGAAACAGTGGGTTGAAATTTGGCGCGTTTCTCTGGCACAGCACAGCAGACCCTCTGCCTCACCCTACCATGGTCAAGTTATCCCGTGAGGCAGCAGGAGCTGGAGCCAGGAGCCAGGCAAAGGGCATAGGGACGTGGAGGTGAAGTAGTCATTAGAGTGCTGGACTAGGACCAGGGTTCAAATCCCCACTCAGCCATGAAGCTCATGGGTTGACCCTGGGCTGGTCACTCGCTCTTTGCCTAACCTACCTCACAGGGTTGTTGTGAGAATAATATGGGGAGGAGAACCATGTGCATCGCCTTGAGCTCCTTGGAGGAGAGGGGGAATATTGTTGTTGTTTAGTCGTTTAGTCCGACTCTTTGTGACCCCCTGGACCAGAGCATGCCAGGCACTCCTGTCTTCCACTGCCTCCCGCAGTTTGGTCAAACTCATGTTGGTAGCTTCGAGAACACTGTCCAACCATCTCGTCCTCTGTCGTCCCCTTTTCCTTGTGCCCTCCATCTTTCCCAGCATCAGGGTCTTTTCCAGGGAGTCTTCTCTTCTCATGAGTACTGGAGCCTCAGCTTCACGATCTGTCCTTCCAGTGAGCACTCAGGGCTGATTTCCTTCAGAATGGATAGGTTTGATCTTCTTGCAGTCCATGGGACTCTCAAGAGTCTCCTCCAGCACCATAATTCAAAAGCATCGATTCTTCGGCGATCAGCCTTCTTTATGGTCCAGCTCTCACTTCCATACATCACTACTAGGAAAACCATACTGGGAAAACCAAAATAAAATAAAGCAAGAGCCTTGCAAAGCCTCAAGGATCAAAGAGCTGAAATCACTGACTGGGGCTGAAGGAGGTTTACAAGTAAGTGTGAGTGTCCCAAGAGGCAGCCTTTGAGGTAACTTAGAAGCCAAGGGTTAGGATGGACTGTGGATTGCCTCACAGTTAGCAGAGGCTGCTGTGCCCAGGTAAAGACTTGGGCAGAGGTTCAGGTGAACTCCGAGAATCTCCAGAGCACGAGGAGCAAGAAGACTCTGCAAGTGTAGCCCTCTGGCCCAAGTGGTTAAGTGGGTTGGAGGGGCTGGGGTAATTGGTTGAAAAGAGCAGGGATGAATCTCCAGTAACTTTTCAAAGTGGCAGTAACAAAATAACCAAGTAGAATGAACAGTCTGATTTAAAGCAACAGTGGTCAAGTTAAGCTTATTATATTTCAACCTTTTGATCTTGGCCTACAAGCAAGGTGTCTGTTGCACTGGTCACTGCTAACATAAATGTACTAGTAGAATATGCAAGGCATGAAGAATAGCAACCAACACACAAAGCCAATGATAGATAGGCCCAAGGTAGCATGGGCTTATTTTACAGAGTATTTCTTGTTACGCTCACAGCTTGGCATTACTACCCTGTTTCCCCAAAAGTAAGACATCCCCCCAAAATAAGACCTACTTCCAGTTTTGCCTCTCACTGTAATATAAGGCCTCCCCCGAACATAAGGCGTCCCCGGAATATGTGTACAGTATTCTTCTTCATGGAAAAATAAGACATCCCCTGAAAATAAGACCTAGCGCATCTTTGGGAGCAAAAATTAATATAAGACACTGTCTTATTTTCAGGAAAACAGGGTAGTGCTGAAAAGGATAATATATGAAAGAGCACATCAAAGAGTTACAAAGATGTTTGCAAACGTGACATGCAGGCTGGCAACATCAAGCCTGCCATCTGGGAAACCCTTGCAGACAACCGCAGTGCCAGGAGCCAGACAGACACGTCATGTATTCCTATAGCAATGACCAGAGGAGGGATAACCGCTGGGAGGAGCTCAGAGGAAAGAAACGCCCGGCTTCATCCGCATCTGCAGCAGCACAACCGGATACCTCCATCTGCCCCAGCTGCAACAAAACATGTCTGTCCCTTATTTGGTCTCTAAAGCCACAGCAGGCACTGCAACCTTCCAACAGTTTGACCCCACTCCCAAAGCCACACTCCTACATTGTTTCCCAAGACAGACAGATGCCAGCACAACTTCAAAGAGATGGGCAAAGGCAGAAGGACACCAGGCATGTATTCACAATTACCTCAACTGCATGTTTCCTCTGCTCAGACGAGGTTGCCTCAATGCCCTGTATGGTACAACACTATGCACTGATGATGAGTAAACATCTGTAAGAAGCCAAACTGCCAGGAAAATGACAAAGAAAATGACACACACACACCCCCATCACCCAGACATCCCTACAAAGACCATGGCTGTCTACAAAAGAACATGCTGGATGTGTTCGTAATACATGGGCACCAGAAAAGAGCAGCCAGGCTGTTGCTGCTGCCCAGAAAGCAGCTGGAGAATTGAAGAGAAAGAAAATAAAAATAGATGCAGACGACAACATTTACTGAGCAAGGTGATGTGGACAGCAGAGCTTCTGTGCTGAATTAAAGGAGCAGGTGCACAATGAGCTATTGAATATGCTGTCAAGAAGCCGCTGGGCCCATCTTGTGTCATGAATTAGAAATGCTGATTCCACGAAGTGATAAACGCAGCCCTCTGTTGGTTTGGGGAGGTCAGTCTCTGAAGCAGGCTTAACTTTAAATGGATTTAAACCAAAAAGAGCTTAAGTTGTTAATGTAGGGAGCACATTGCTTATCAGGGCAGACACAGAAAGAGAAACTTTAAACTGGGCTAGGCAGAACTACTCAAGGAGGTCAGTTCTAAGTAAAGGTAAACCATAAACCTTAACACTGCAGTTTCTGTGCAAAGCGATGACAGTCATGAAATAAAATTGTGCCTTCCCTTTCTTTAACTAGAACTGAATAAACTGAATCCTACATCCAGAGCAGGGTCTCTTCCCAACACCTGTGCCATTTTACTAAAAGGTAATACATCTCAGAACACAGATGCACCCTCAGATTCCAGCTAAGTTCTCTTTTTTAAGTTAGGTAAAGGTACCCCTGACCATTAGGTCCAGTTGCGGATGACTCTGGGGTTGCGCGCTCATCTCGCTCTATAGGCTGGGGGAGCCGGCGTTTGTCCACAGACAGTTTTTCCGGGTCATGTGGCCAGCATGACTAAGCCGCTTCTGGTGAGCCAGAGCAGCGCATGGAAATGCCGTTTACCTTCCCGCTGGAGTCGTACCTATTTATCTACTTGCACTTTGACGTGTTTTCGAACTGCTAGGTGGGCAGCAGCTGGGACCAAACAACAGGAGCTCACCCCGTCGCGGGGATTCAAACCGCCGACCTTCCGATCGGCAAGCCCTAGGCTCTGTGGTTTAGACCACAGCACCACCCGTGTTTCCCCTTTTTAAAGTTATTTTAATTGAAATCTGAGGTGGGCATATCAACATTTTAGGAGCCGTTTTACACCACACATTTGTCTTTTCACAAATATACTTGAGAGCTACGTCTAATGTAAACTGCATATGAATTTGGCTTCAGTATGCTTTTTTAAAAATATATATATTAAGGTGATTTCAATTAAAAGAAATAAAGTGGTACAAAAAAAAAGAAGGAAAAGTGAGAGGGAGAAAAACAACAACAAAGATACACATAAAAGTGAGAATATGAAAGAAAGAAAAAAGCAATATACGATATGCCCATACTGCCTTCAATATGCTGACATCACAAACAGACCACCACTGGCAACAACGCCTGCCCTCCCTCAAATTCTCTGAATTGCAAAGATTATTTCTATATGATTTGGCAATCCTTTACTGACTTTACTTCAAATGATATGTTCTCAAAGGCCAGCTTTACAGGCCTGGAAAATCTGGCACCATGTGTAATTATGAGGCTATGACTGCATGTACTTTCCTGTTTTACATCTTCCTCTCCATGCGATGTAGATGGATAATGTATTGTGTCTCTTTCGACATGGGCCACATGCCTAAAGGTTTTGTGGTTTCATTGTTTCATTATATATCTATATATCTAGTCACGCTGTATGGTGATCATCTAGAAAAAGGCAATAAAAATGTTTACGGGAGACATGTTAGTTTTCAGCAAAGCCAAAATTTGTGGATCCCGGCCCAATGTGTTTCCATTTAACACATGAACAGTAATCCCTGACCTAGATTCCTTAAACTGATCAATAACTATGCTACAACAAAACCCAGAAAAATATGCAGCATCCGTTGATTGCCTCCTGCATCCCAGCCCCTGTTTCAACATGCAATAGCTTATGTGGGCAACAGGCTCAGCCCACAATGCCACAACAGGAATGGAACAGGGAGGTGATAAATAAAGTTTGCAAAATCTTGTGACAGTGGCCGGTAACCTCTGATGCTTCCTTTGTCAATGCCAGTGAAATCCCATCGTAATGCTCCAGAGTCATCAGTCTGCTGAAATCTCAATTTTTATTAATGATGGGAAATGACTACTTTTCTTGTAATTACACGGCATGTCAATTAGACAAATTCTTGAGAAGCTATTGATCCTTTACATGTTGAGAAATGTCCCCCCCAAAATACCAGCTTCCCAGCATGAGTGGCCAACTAATAATCGGTACTGCTAACACATGTTACATCTCTCTTTCTCTGAAGTTGTTTTAAAGAATTTGCATGCAATCTCCCCCCCCCATTTCCCCCCCTTTTTAATAAACATGCAGTTGCAATTTAGTGCGTCGGATCCAGACATCTTCCCTCAGGATGGCACTCCAGCGGCAGGGTTATCGCATCTCCCAAATATTGGAAATAACAACAGTGACTTCTGTTGTGTGCAACAAGATTGCACAAGCATAGCACAATGGACAACCACGTAATAGTCCTGGGCACTGTGAATGGTGATAAACAACGCAACTCATACATAAACCGAGTATGACTGCAAGAACCATCGTCTGTAGCAACTTATAGGGGTGGGTTTTCAGCTTGGGGAGATGGGCAGCACTCTCCCGCCTCAAAAAACAAACCCAGAACCCACTCTCTCTCTCCATTCCCCCCACCCACATAAATACAAACATTAATCGTGACAATTAGATCACTCGGTCAGTCTTTCTTGACTCCATTTTCAGCCCCTTTTGGATCATCAACTGCAAGTCTGCATACCCATGCATTCAACCAGCAGTCACTGTCTGTTGCTTGATGCTAGCCCTGTCTTGGGGGTGGTGGGGGGGAGAAGAGCACATTTGTCTCAAGGAATACCTTTCGTCACAGAAAAAGACTTTAGCGAGTCCCATTGAAAACAGCCTGGTCAAGCAAGCAGATCCAACAATCTCCCGTTCAAACATCTTTTGATGTGATTTGGCAATCAGGAGCCAATTAGGAATCCTCAGGGCACAGCCATTTGCATGAAAGAGATGGGCTAGATCTTCCTCCTGCCTCTAGGACAGGGGTCAGCAAACATTTTCAGCCATGGACCAGTCCACCGTCTCTCAGACCATGTGGTGGGCTGGACTATATTTAGAAAAAATAATAATGAACGAATTCCTATGCCCCACAAATAACCCAGAGATGCATTTTAAATAAAAGGACACATTCTACTCATGTAAAAACACGCTGATTCCCGGACCATCCGCGGGCTGAATTGAGAAGGCAATTGGGCCACATCCAGCCCCCGGGCCTTAGGTTGCCTACCCCTGCTCTAGGAGCTATGACTGCATCCCAGTTTCCTGAGCTAAATCTACTTTCCACTAAGACCCTTTATTCTTTTAATTACTAAGGAAGGTGAAGAAACAATTAACACGGTCTAGGGTAATTTCATTTAACCAAGAGGAAAGTAGAAGGGGATGGGGGGGCAGTGTTAGAAACTCATATATAAAAGCCAGGCACCAAATGGCTCTTTAAACCAAAGTTACAGTCAGCAAGATAGAAAGTCTAGTTGCCATTTTGGGGCAAGATGGCTCTGAAGCCTTATTTTTCAAATGATGGACTGACTGTGATTATCAGTTAAACATTTGGCTAGTTCAGATGACAACCTTGAACTAAAATATAAACTTTGAGAATTTAAGGAAGAAAAGTCACTTTATCCAGAGACAGTCCACGTATACATTGGCCTACTTCGACCTTTCTTTGTTAATGGTGACATGGACCATGAGGAATATTCTTCACAACTGTGAGCAGGGCAAGGGGGTGGGCTAAGTGAAGACAAGTGACAACAACTAACTCTAGCATCGTTCACTGCTGCTGCTCCGGCTGCACAGAAAAAGCATTAGGGTTCCTGAAATTCATTCTGATTGGGCAAATAAAATACAACTGGTAGACTCAACAGGATGTGGTATTAGTGTGTGAAACCAGTCAAGATCCAAAGATCCTCAGGCAAAGCACCTCCAGATGGCGGGTATGTCAGGCACAATCATGGCACCCAGGCATCTTCACTTGGTCGCAGATTGCTGATTTGTTGTTGTTTAGTCGTTTAGTCCGACTCTTTGTGACCCCATGGACCAGAGCACGCCAGGCACTCCTGTCTTCCACTGCCTCCCGCAGTTTGGTCAAACTCATGTTGGTAGCTTCGAGAACACTGTCCCACCATCTCGTCCTCTGTCATCCCCTTCTCCTTGTGCCCTCCATCTTTCCCAACATCAGGGTCTTTTCCAGGGAGTCTTTTCCACCATAATTCAAAAGCATCAATTATTTGGCAATCAGCCTTCTTTATGGTCCAGCTCTCACTTCCATACATCACGACTGGGAAAACCATAGCTTTAACTATACGGACCTTTGTTGGCAAGGTGGTGTCTCTTCTTTTTAAGATGCTGTCTAGGTTTTTCACTGCTTTTCTCCCAAGAAGCAGGCATCTTTTAATTTTGTGACTGTTGTCCCCATCTGCAGTGATCATGGAGCTCAAGAAAGGAAAATCTCTTACTGCTTCCATTTCTTCCCCTTCTATTTGCCAGGAGGTGATGGGACCAGTGGCCATGAACTTCATTTTTTTGATGTTGAGCTTCAGACCATATTTTGCACTCTCCTCTTTCACCCTCATTAAAAGGTTCTTTAATTCCTCCTCACTTTCTGCCATCAAGGTTGTGTCATCTGCATAATACACCTGGCATCTGGCTAATTACAAACACTGATGGGGAGGTGATAAACTGCCTTGCTGATGTTGTAATTAGGTATTTTTTTCATGCTGTAAGCTGCCTTGAGCATGGCTTGAACTATGAAAAGGCGGCACACAAATGAAATTATCTAGATATATTATCTGTGTATGAGCTACAGGGACCTACTGTCTGAGTATAAGGCAGCTTCCTATGTCGCCAAAGAAGGAGACCTGTTTTCTTATTTCCAAGTAGGACCTGCCCTGCATGCTGAAGACATTACAGTCAATCAGGATCACCTATGTGATGATGTAACTATGTGATGATGTACGATAACTAATTGGGATGTAGCACTAGGGCATTTCTGAAGACTACATCAACAGATGAAGTTTAGAACATGAGCAGCTGCTTAGCAACTAACTGCCTGCACACTCTCCTTCTTGTGGGCGAGACCTGAATCAACAGAGAAAGGCACCATAGGAAACCTAGGAACTTGTCTAATACAGTCAGACCATTGTTCTATCTAACTCAGCACTGCCTACACTGACCGGCAGTGGCTTTTCAGTTTCAGACAGCGGTCTCTCCCAGCCCCACCTGGAGATGTCAGGAATTGCCTGATGCCTTCTGAGCATAATGTGTATGTTCTACCACTGAGATCTCCCACCCACACACCTCCACCTGGCTACCTCATTTTCTCCAAATGTCCCACATCTTATCAGTCTTCACATCAACCTATGGCTATAAGCACCAGCCAGCTGCTCAGAGTTGGTAGAGCAGTAAGGAGGAAAAGCAGGAGGGAAAAAGCCAAACCAAATCCAGGTCTCTGCAGCAACAGGAGTCTTTAGACAGCTCCGAAGGTTCGATTTGAGCCCTTGAGTTACGATGGCATACTGAATGTTCAGACTCATCTGAACAATCAGAAGGAATACAGACTTTATATTAAGAGTGTGCCAGTTTTTGAGATCTCTGAGGAAGGTAACATGCAACCCTAAAAGACTACTCTGGAAGCCAAAAGGAATCTAGTAGATGCATACAGACCAGTCTTCCCCAAACTTGGATCCTCAGATGTTGCTGAGCTACAACTCCCATCATGCTTGATCATTGGCCATGCTGCCTGAGAAGGTGGACATTGTAGTGCAACAACATCTGGAGACCCAAAGTTTGAGGAAGGCTGATTTACACCAACCTGCCCTGCCTCTTCTTCCCCGCCTCTGTCCCCCTTTACTTAAGGGACTGAAATACAAGGCTTGCGATTGCCCAGCATACAAGACTTGAGTCTGTGGTTATAATGCAGGAACTGTGCACACAAAGCAATATATGCATTGCCTTGCATGTCTGCAATTTCTATACGTGGAATGGTTAATGCCCATTAATGCTAATGGAAGCTAAGTCCCTTGTACAATGACTGGAGAAAGCAGGGTCCTTAAGTTTACTCCACAGAAATCCATAATAAAAAATGCCCAACAGCACAAAAAGAAAATTGATTCAAAGGCTGAAATGTTCCCAGACAATAGTTTACTGCCTTCTTATTTGCTTCCAACCTGCAAGCTACAAACATATGTATACTTTTTTAAAGTGCATGACCAAGAGCAGCCTTTTTAGAACATTGTCACCAATAATAAAGATTATGCAACCAGAGAAGAAATATTACTATGAAAATATCACACACACACACACACACACACATTTTTCTTCATGGAAATATTCCTAACATGGTTCACACACATATGCTGTGGTATGATCTCCCTAACCTGTTTTATAATTTAAGATCAAACTTGTATTTTAACCTGCATGATGTAATTTAGACCAGGGTCACAACTGCATCACAACACACACACACACACACACACACACACACTTTTCAGGGTTGCATTACACACTGCTGCAGAAAATAATCAGTGGGAACACAAAGTTTGAATATTTGATCCCCCCCCACACACCTTTTATAAAAGTGGTAGTGTTGGCTTTTTCATGGAATATTCACTTGAAAGAGGTAGGACATTGAAAAGCAACCCTGCCAACCTAAGCACAGCATGGAGAGCACCACAGAATGCTATTCTAATAGAAAAATCAGCAAGCTTTAAAAATTAAGTTACACAAAAACCATTCCATACAGTCTGAAGGCCACTGGCAAAGACCACATTCACCCAACACTTTCAAAGACACACGACACAGAAGACAATGGCTGTTACATAAATACAATAATGCACAGCAGAATAAAGTACTGAATTTGGTCTGTAAGTGCTTTTAAGCTCAGAAGTACACAACAAAAGAGCGCCAATTCTTTTTCCTGTAAATGCTGGAGGCTTGACGTACTTACCCACTGGCATTCTAATTGAGTCAGCAATCAGGGATTTTAATTTTTGAAGCCCGAATCACTGCAGTTGGCCTTGATTTAATTTCCAGCGATAAATTACTTTTATGCAGGCTTCGGCTCGGTGAAAAAAAACTACTCACAGGGGCCAAACATTAAGGACATTAGAAAAATAACTTTTATGGTTAAGCTAGCATTCGTATTTGAAAAGCTGTCAAATTGTGCTGAAGAAAGGCCTGGCATGAGTCAGCAGAAGTAGGCTGCGATGCCAGGAGAGTTAAAAGCAGGGCTAAGGAAAGACACAGAAAGAGCGAAAACGAAGAAAGGAACAGAGAAGCAAATCATTTCTGCCTCTCCGAACCTGCTAAAAAACCTGCTGTTATCAGTCACTGTGACATGGATACACTGGAAAGTCTAGATTTTTAATCACTTCCTTGGTTCCCCCCTTTGGTGCCCCTTGAGCAAAGTGAAGTTAAGAAAGCTAAGTTTGAAAACCAGCAAAATGCAGTTCTCAACAAATTCCTGCAGTTAACAGCATATGGATCTGAAGCAGGCGAAAGAAATGAGGTAAGCCTTGAAATTCCCGTATGTAGAAACTGGACCACTCCCAAGCGCACACAGTCGGCTTATCAAAAGAGCCTGCAAAGAAACTGCCCTACTTTGCGCCCCGTTCTGATTTCTGTTGCTTGCACATTAAGCCAAACTGCTTTGAAAAGGCCGTTTCACATGATCAGCGACAGGAAGTGCAAAATAAGTGAAGAACCTACAGGAACACGAGGTGTGATAGAGTCAATTAGAGCTTCAGAGAGCGCTCCAATTTTGCTTCTCCACCCAAAATACACCAGCAAAACAAACCTGCAATTTGCACATTAAAATGCAGACTGGTCTGAGAATGCTCCATGCGCTAAAGCCACTCCTAGTCATGAGTGCAGTTGCATGTGACAAAAGCTGCTCTGCACCTTTCACTTTGTTCTCCTGCTCTTGCACAAACGCCAAAGCACTTCAAGCTCGCACGCCTGTTTTCGTGGCAAACGCAACTTACTTAGTAAGCACCTTATCAAATTTACAAAAGGCCTCCAACATCACTGATCAGATATTATGTAAACTAACCCTTGGAGAATATCCATTTCATAACAGGGAAGATGGATATTCCCCCAAGGAGTCTCTACAGAGAAACATTCGTTGAAAGCACTTACAAATCTACACACAACACGTGCAATTAAAAATGGATACTGTCAACCTTTGCCAAAGGCAAATTATCGCTGCAAAGTAGTGGGGGAAATGCTGGACACAGGACAACAGATATCAAGCAGGTTTGCTCCAGATCAGAATGGAATACGAAACTAAAATTGCTCCATTATTAAGTATCCACAGGAAAACATGTTTTCAGTCTGAGAGACCAGGGTTCAAATTCCCATCTGGCTATGAAGTTCACTGGGTGACCTTGAGCCAGTCACTGCCCTAACCTACCCCACGGAGTTGTTGTGAGAATTAATTGAAGAGGGAGAGAACCATGAACACAACCTTGAGCTTCTTTGAGAAAAGGGCAGCATATAACTGCAACAATAAATAGGTAATCTCATGCCAGAGAGACAACCTGAAGACAAATTTAGGCTGGTGGTTTAAGGCCATTGATAAAGGGACAAACAAAAAAAGCCTTCTTCATTTTTAAAAATTATTTGATTGTCTTAATACTCCTCCTCAGCGTTGTGACAGGAGTGTAGTTACATGCAATGCTTATGATTGAGTTTATCACGTGAGACTGAAATAGATCTAACAATCAGCATGCTTCCAAGTAATTATAATCTCCTGTGGCACAATGGATCATTGTGTCTGGCTGTTAACCAGAAGGTTGGTGTTCGAACCCACCCAGGGAAAACTGTGGGCAGGATTCCTGCATCTGCAAGGGGTTGGACTAGAGGACCTTGGGGTACATTTCCAAATCTGCCCAATTCTTTTAGCATTGAAATACAGTGGTACCTTGGCTCCCAAACAAATCGGCTCCCAAACACCGCAACCCCGGAAGTGAGTGGTCCAGTTTGCGAATGTTTTTCGGAAGCCGAACATCTGACGCAGCTTCCGACTGAGTGCAGGAAGGTCCTGCAGCCAATCAGAAGCTGTGCCTTGGTTTTCGAACGGTTCCAGGAGTCGAACGGACTCCCGGAACGGATTAAGTTCAGCAACCAAGGTACCACTGTAAATAATAGTATTAAAAAAAAAATGTCTCTACAACCTTAAAGGTAACTAGAAAGTAGCTTGGAAGAGCTGCTGCCATAAAATAGGAAACTAGGTGGACTCATGGACTCGCTTCGTGTTAAGGGCGTGGTAAGTCCGTGCAATGCTTACTGAAAAGCAAGCAGGTGTGGCAAGCAAAAAAGACGATGCAAAGACTTTGGCACCAACATACTGATGGTGAGATGTTTAGCAAGCAGGCTAACATCTGCAAATACATTTCACACACACTTTTCAGGGAGTTGGGCAAGAGATAATGTACAGAATAACAGCTTCGAGCACACACTCGCCTCTATTACAGTGGTACCTCGGGTTAAGTACTTATTTCGTTCCGGAGGTCCGTTCTTAACCTGAAACTGTTCTTAACCTGAAGCACCACTTTAGCTAATGGGGCCTCCTGCTGCTGCCGTGCCACCGGAGCATGATTTCTGTTCTCATCCTGAAGCAAAGTTCTTAACCTGAAGCACTATTTCTGGGTTAGCAGAGTCTGTAACCTGAAGCGTATGTAACCTGAAGCGTATGTAACCTGAGGTACCGCTGTATTTTAAATGCAGCCCAAGTGAGCAGTTTCTGGGTTGGTTTGGGTTTCTTTAGGATCTGGGTTCTAAGGTTTGCAAAACTGGCAGGAGCGAAGACTTCCCGGTTTCCTATCCCAGGCACTCTGGATCATCTCCCCGGCTGCGGCCCCAGCTCACTTTTGGAGCAAAAAAACGCTCGCCTCTCTCTTTCCCAGCCTCCACACGTTTGGACTTGCTCCAAAGATCCCCCGCACCCTTCTCACACCTGATCTCCCGCTTTGGGAAGGCGCGTATGTATGAATCCTGAAGCGTATGTAACCTGAAGCGTATGTAACCCGAGGTACCACTGTATTATATACGTGCACTCATAATCACAGTTTGAGCAACTTCCACTGGCTGCATTTGGCATATTGCTGGTCCATTAACTGTACGCCAAGAGCCATACCCAAAGATCCCTGGTTTGGATCAGCTAACATTAAAGTCTTGGAGGGGGAGCCCAAGAGAGACATTCCTTCCCCAGTGTCCATCTGCAACCTATCCCTGTCCAGGTGAGCAAAAGAGCACCCAACACTGAAAGTACAATGAAATAATTCTGCAGTCTGATTGTGTCATTCTGCCTCACTATTTGCACTTGCTTCCTTGTTCCTTCCAACGCTCCTCCTCTCTTTACTCTGTACCTGCATCATCACAGCGTTCTTCAAGACACCAGTTTCCAGAAAAACAAAGGCATTACGTCATTGGCTGAGAAAGCCATTTGGCAGCAACATTCTACCTCCACGCAGATAATTCAGATACACAAACTTGAGAGTCCACATCTCACTCTTACAGTATTGGACATGTGATACACGCTATGCTTTTCCATACATTCTAACATGGAGACAGGATATCTCCTGTATACTACCCAAAAGTTGCTTAAAAAATAAAAATAAAAATTCTAGTGTATGCTTCAGACCAGCAGCTGTTAAGATAAAAGGGGCTTTGATGCTTTAAAAAATTACTTCTCCCCCTTGATGGCATTAAAGACAGCCCACCCTCAATTAGAGGAGACACCAGTGTTGTTTTTCCCTGATGAGAACTAGCAACAAAAGCTTTGATGCACTCCCAGCCCTAGAGCGGAAAGTGTACTGCCCCATAGACAGGCTTCAATAAAGACTGGAGGCTATACTAGTTCTTTACAAGTTTCACACCTCCAAGACGAGCAAGTAGTCTTCCACACCTTATTACCTTAAAAAACCTGGGCCCTGTGAACTCAAGAGGCTGCCTCCCTATAACCGCTGGCAATCCAAGGCTGATCACTCACTATCCTTGAAGAAAGACTACACTGCGGCAGGTCTGTGACCACTCACCAATTTTAATGCAATTCATGAACGCAAAAACAGGGAAGGGAGGTTATCAAGCACCTATCATGCAATCCTCTCTTTCAAATCAGAACCAGTGAAGGCGGTGAAGGTCCTGTGTGAGTGTCTGGAGGCGGTTGGAGGATGGATGGCGGGTAACAGATTGAGGCTGAATCCTGACAAGACAGAAGTACTGTTTTGGGGGGACAGGAGGTGGGCAGGTGTAAAGGACTCCCTGGTCCTGAATGGGGTAACTGTGCCCCTGAAGGACCAGGTGTGCAGCCTGAGAGTCATTCTGGACTCACAGCTGTCCATGGAGGCACAGGTCAATTCTGTGTCCAGGGCAGGTGTTTACCAGCTCCATCTGGTACGCAGGCTGAGACAGCCCACAGACTGTCTCGCCAGAGTAGTGCATGCTCTGGTTATTTCCCGCTTGGACTACTGCAATGCGATCTATGTGGGGCTACCTTTAAAGGTGACAACTAATCCAGAATGTGGCAGCTAGACTGGTGACTGGGAGCGGCCGCCGAGACCACATAACACTGGTCTTGAAAGACCTACATTGGCTCCCAGTCCGTTTCCGAGCACAATTCAAAGTGTTGGTGCTGACCTTGAAAGCCCTAAACGGCCTCGGTCCACCCCCATCGTTCTACCCGGATGCTGAGGTCCAGCTCCGAGGGCCTTCTGGCGGTTCCCTCACTGCGAGAAGTCAAGTTACAGGGAACCAGGCAGAGGGCCTTCTCAGTAGTGGCGCCCGCCCTATGAAACGCCCTCCCACCAGATGTCAAAGAGAACAACAACAACCAGACTTTTAGAAGACATCTGAAGGCAGCCCTGTTTAGGGAAGCTTTTAATGTTTGATGCATTACGGTATTTTAATATTGTGTTGGAAGCCACCCAGGGTGGCTGGGGAAACCCAGGCAGATGGGCGGGGTATAAATAATAAGTTGTTGTTGTTGTTGTTGTTGTTGTTGTTATCTCCGTCATCTTGGGGTTACAAATCCTAAATGAACAAGCAAATGATGGACTAAGGTGAGGTTTGAGCCTATTCCATAGACTCCACTTGGAGACCCACCAAAGCCCAAACATCTTCTGCCTTGACTATCTGGGATTACCAGGGCTAGAGGGAAGAGGGACATTTGCTGTAATGTTAATCTTGTTTGGATCTCGTTTCTGATGTGCTCGGAGTTAAACATCCACACAGACTGTAACAATGGGACCTTTCTGCTTCATTTCACCATACGTCACAAGTATGTGCGCACATGTGCACATATGCAAATAGATACTCACTTATCTGAAAAAAAAACATTCCTTCCCTTTGATGCTCTCCCCACTATCGAGCAAAATAAGTTAGTCACAGTTGTGTACTGCAAACCCACAGATGTTCACATTTACTTAAAACATAAATCCTGCCATCCAAAACAAATTAAGAAAATTCATCATCATCAGTTTGGTCCTCAAAATTAAATGTAGCTGCAACAACAATGAAAATTAACTCCACCACACTCATGAGTTTAAAAAGTACCAGTGGGAATTCTGCAAATAACATAGTGCACTGTGAGCATTTGTCTGACCTTTCCTAGTTTATTCCCTGTTAGGAAATGGTTCAATGGTCAGCTTTGCCCCTCTTTGTCAAGGCAAGGAGTGCCACATATGTACAGAATGGGGAAACCTAAAGAGGGACAGGTGGGAGGCCAGAAAATTATGTTGGACCCCCAGCGCACATCTCTTTCTCTTTCAAAACAGGTCTTGCAATATAAATGCTTCTCCCAAGTTTCTGCACGTAGGTAAATGTCCTTCCGTAGACTTCCTTTTGCTATAGGGCCTTCTCGGTAGTGGCGCCAGCCCTGTGGAACGGCCTCCCCTCAGATGACAAACAGATTAACAACTGCACAATGACATCTGAAGGCAGTCCTGTACTGGGAAGTTTTTTATGTGTGATGTTTCGCTGTGTCTTTATTATGTTGGAAGCCGCCCGGAGTAGCTGGGGAAACCCTGTCAGGTGGGTGTGGTGTAAGTAATAAATTATTGCTATGATTTGTCAAGGTCACTTGATTTTAGCTTGCAAATAGCCACTTGCCTGTGGGAGTAAGAATCTGCTACAGGCGACCAAGCAGAGAAATAATTTTTTAAGTTTATTGTTTATTCCAACATTTTGTTGTTTAAGAAAGTGGTCCCGAAACTTTTCCCCCCACAGACCACTTGAAAATTGCTCAGTGGGCCACTTAATTATTATTCTACCTGTTGTTGCAACTGTAATACACTATGCTGAATGCTGTGAGTTTTAATTGTATTTTTAAAGAAACACAGCCTGCCCTCTCTCCCAAACCATAAAGAAAGGAAACAGAGGAGAAAAAGTGAAAACTAGAAACAACAGTTTAAAGTACTTGAGGTAGAAAACTGAGTACCAAACATCAGAGTAAAGAGCTTTACAGAGCAATCTAATGCACACCTTCTCAGTAAATCCCTATATAGTTCAATGGGACTTACTCCTGGGTAAGTGGGTATAGGACTGCATTTTAATTTTATTTATTTAATTAACTTCCATACCACTTTATATTTTTAATAAAAACCTCAAAGCGGTGTACAGCATTAAAACAATAAAACAATAGCCGGGCAATGTTCCTCCGGCCTCATTTTACTTAAGAACATTTATATACCACTTGATTGTAAAAAACAACAACCCACCCCTCTAGATGGTTTCCAAAAATATAAAACAAAACATTAACATTATTTTTTTTTAAAACACACACACTGCCAACCTAGCAGTTCGAAAGCATGTCAAAGTGCAAGTAGATAAATAGGTACAGCTCAGTCAGGAAGGTAAACGGCATTTCCGTGCACTGCTCTGGTTCGCCAGAAGCAGCTTAGTCATGCTGGCCACATGACCCAGAAGCTGTACGCCGGCTCCCTTGGCCAATAAAGCGAGATGAGCGCCACAACCCCAGAGTCATCCACAACTGGACCTAACGGTCAGGGGTCCCTTTACCTTTACTGCCCAAAGGAACCATCTGTAGCACTTGGGGGTCAGGAAGGGAAATTTTACAAAAAGGGTTTCTCCTTTGGGGCTATGAAAAGCTACTCTGGGACCCAGGCAGAGGGCCTTCTCGGTAGTGGCACGCACCCTGTGGAACGCCCTCCAATCATATGTCAAAGAAATAAACAACCATCTGACGTTTAGAAGACACCTGAAGGCATCCCTGTTTAGGGAAGATTTTAATGACTGATGCTTTAATGTACTTTTAATCTTTTGTTGGAAGCCTCCCAGAGTGGCTAGGGAAACCCAGCCAGATGGGTGGGGTTTATTTATTTATTTATTTATTTATACATACCCCGTCCATCTGGCTGGGTTTCCCCAGTCACTCTGGGCGGCTTGCAACCAAATATTAAAAACAATACAGCATCAAACATTAAAAACTTCCAATAGGGCCGCCTTCAGTTGTCTTTAAAAAGTAAAATAGTTATTGCCTTGACATCTGGTGGGAGGGCGTTCCAGGGCGGGCGCCACTACTGAGAAGGCCCTCTGCCTGGTTCCCTGTAACCTCACTTCTTGCAGCGAGGGAACCGCCAGAAGGCCCTCGGAGCTGGACCTCAGTGTCCGGGCTGAGCAATGGGGGTGGAGACAGGTATACAGGACCGAGGCCATTTAGGGCTTTCAAGGTCAGCACCAACACTTTGAATTGTACTCGGAAACGTACTGGTGACCGCCCCCAGTCACCAGTCTAGCTGCCGCATTCTGGATTAGTTGTAGTTTCCGGGTCACCTTCAAAGGTAGCCCCACGTAGAGCGCATTGCAGTAGTCCAAGCGGGAGATAACCAGAGCATGCACCACTCTGGCAAGGCAGTCCGCAGGCAGATAGGGTCTCAGCCTGCGTACCAGGTGGAGCTGTTATTATTATTTGGGCCGATGTGGGTGTTAGTAACACATTTTTGTAATGCATTTCTATACCACCTTTCTTGGCGGGGGGGGAGGCTGGGGGGGGCTGCTGCCCCATCAGGGGAGCCCTTTGGCCCTCCTGCTCTTCAGCCTTCCTTCTCCAAGCAAACAAAGGGAGGAGAGAGCAGAAACTTCAGCAGGTGTCTTGTCCTCTCCCTCTGTGGGTGAGAGGCAAGCAAACGGGCAGAAGCAAAAGTGGCAAGCGGCTCCACCTCCATCGTTCTGCCCGGACACTGAGGTCCAGCGCCAAGGGCCTTCTAGCGGTTCCCTCACTGCGAGAAGCCAAGTTACAGGGAACCAGGCAGAGGGCCTTCTCGGTGGTGGCGCCCGCCCTGTGGAACACCTTCCCACCAGATGTCAAAGAGAAGAACAACTACCAGACTTTTAGAAGACATCTGAAGGCAGCCCTGTTTAAGGAAGCTTTTAATGTTTAATAGGTTATTGTATTTTAGTGTTTTGTTGGAAGCTGCCCAGAGTGGCTGGGGAAAGCCAGCCAGATGGGCGGGGTATAAATAATAATAAATAATAATAATAATAATAATAATTTAGATAGTTTATCTTTCTGCATTCACTGACACCCTGCAAGCCTCACCTAAATCTGAATGAAAATATATAAACACACACACACACACACCCCTCAAGGACATGATAGCCAAATAAACTACCAGCAACACTTGCTTGGCTTAAAGAGATTTCTTTTCTTCCCACTTCTCCTTCTGATGTCTCGTCTCGTCTACCTGATCTCCCTAAAGGGTAGATCTTCCTGTACAGGTGCTTGTATTGTAAATATAAAGGTGCGGCAAGCTCTCCCCTTGTTCTAAACCTGCAGGCATGTTTCAAAGGCCCAAAAGACTAACTGGAATTTAACTGTGCCTTACATCCATGAGTGTCTGAAATGAAAGACTAAACAACTACAATGTCCAAATGACAGGGAATATGTTCAAAGATAGTAATTCCTATACTGCTGCCCAGACTCTTCCCACTGTTATTTCTTAAAATAAATTAAATTGACTTTGTTATAGACCCGTGACTTCTTGACTTAGAGTGAACTGAATGTTCAGCAACATGACCAAAAGAAAGAAAAATTATTTTATTTTTATTTTACTTATTAAATATGGATACTGCCCTTCATCCCTAAATCTCAGGGTAGTTCACAGCATAAAAATACAAAATAAAAATACAAAATTCATAACAACATCATTTTGCTGCTATAGCTATTTCCTCCAGCAACATGGTAACATTTACAAAGGCAGCTCATGAGTTAATAAAATAGAAGAATTATTAAAGAAAGGTCAGAGCAATGTTGGGGCAAGCTGCCTCTGACCACAAACAAAGAGAGAAGTCTGGCCATTCCTTCATTAAGAAGCAACCATGTCATGTGAATGACTATGGCCATGATGAAATTTGATTAAGGCCCAGAGAATCACAGATATTGAAGCAAACAGTGAGTTTAAGTGTGCAGAAATTATATGTGGTACATTGTACCATTTCGCCTGTACCATTTTATGGTGGGGGAGGAGAAGAGATAAGCATTTAAATATTGTTTCCCTTTCTCAAAAGCTCTCAATGTGCAAATTAGGACTAGGGAAATATGCTGTGCTTAGAAATTTCCTTTAGCATAATTATCTGAAGGCCATCCTGCCCTCAAACATCCATTTACCACTTTAGCTCTTGATGCACCTCCAGCCAACAAACATCCTATTTCACTCCCTCGTCTACCGTATTTTTCGCTCCATAAGACGCACTTCTTTCCTCCTAAAAAGCAAGGGGAAATGTGCAGCTCTCCCTCTATGCGCAGCGCCCCTTCCGCAAAGCGGAAGGAGGAATGGAGCCCCTTCTGTTTCTCCTCCCGCTTCGCTGAAGGCGCGCTGCGCAGCTCTCCCTCTCTGCGCAGGAGAGCTCTGCAGCCTCTTCCGGTCAGGGGGAGCCTTCATCCCGCTGCCCTGAAGAGGCTTCGCGCTGCTATCCCAGATGCCAGAACAGCAAGAGGCTATCCCAGAAGCCAGATCCCTCTCGCTGTTCTGGCTTCTGGGATTCAGAATATTTTTTTTTCTTGTTTTCCTCCTCCAAAAACTAGGTGCGCCTTATGGTCTGGTGCGTCTTATAGAGCGAAAAATACAGTACCTCGCTATTCTCTAGCATGGAACTGCCACTAAATATACAGATTCCACAAAGATGGGTTTGCTATCTTGGGTGATGTCCTGAAGTACTGAAACTTTCTGGAATAAACCTATTAATCCTTAGCTAATATACAGCCCGGGTCTAAAACAAATTTACTCAAACAGCCAAGTGAACTTAAGCTCACAACATGGTTTGGGCATCTGACCAGTCAAATCAAATCCAGTATACTGAATGTAACTAAAAATGCAAACAAAAAAAAATTGAATTGAAGCAGGTGGGGTGAAATATTTCTCCCATCCATGAGCTTATGCATACCTGCTAAAATATTTATTTATTCAGTGCTTGCATCCCACTCTTCCTCACACAGAGCCCAGGACGGCTAACATCATCTACAAACATAACTTTAGAAACCTAAAATACTTTATTAAATAAATAAACATATTGATATTAGTATCTATTGGAGATATAGAATCTTTAGGAGATAACAGTTTCAGACATACAAGGCGGGCTCTCTCTCCAAGCTACATTTTCAGCCACAAGCAATTTAAATTTTGAATCAGACAGTAGGCTGAGGATTAATCCAATTAATCTGATTGAATTAACCAGAATAAAGCATAATCTAGAATCAAGATTATAAGGTTTAAGTGGTATTATACAAAAATCTGACTCCCCAACTATGTGTTCAACTACCTACCTTACCATACCAAACCAAGCCAGGGTAAAGAAAACACCACAATCGTATTATACAGATTGTGTAGGTTAATTGCAAATCCACATTGCAGTCAACCTGGAATTCTGCACACATATGTAAGAAAAAATGAAGTCCTTTCAAACTGTTACACACTAAAAGAAGTACATCTTTTTTTGTCTGAATACCATTGTAAGGAGAGCATGACTTCATTTTCTGTTTGCTGCTGTTTTGGAGCCAGATTTGCATTTGTGGAATACAGTACTTCATTCCGTGAAATCTCTCCAGTCTAGAGCTTGCGGGACCATTATCATTTTGCCTGTTTTAATTTATTGTTCCTTCACAGCTGTGTTGTCTTCAAACATACCATCTTTGCACTGTGCTGTCCATTCCACGGTAAGCAGTTTCCTCCCACCACCCTCCCCCAAATCTGCTCGTGGTCCCGTTATACTTCTGACGACATGCCACTGCAACGCCATGTCAATTTGTAAGGACGAACACGAATGGTACAAAAGCAGAATATGGGACCAAAAGTCACAGGAAGCCAAGCAAATATGAAAAGCGATCACCAGGACAAAACAAGAGCGGCTCAAATCCAGTTGTTTCTCTGCTTCAGATGTAATCAATCCTCCTTCTCACAAGCCACTCCCACGGCATTTCTCAACTCCGCTTTTCCGCAAAGTCATAAGTGAAAGTCTGCCGAGGTCTCCAGTAAATGTGGAGAGCTTGCCCAGTGCAATGTACCGTATTTTTCGCCCTATAAGACGCACTTTTTCCCCTCCAAAAATGAAGGGGAAATGTGTGTGCGTCTTATGGGGCGAATGCAGACTCCTTGGCTTCAGCAATAGCAACGTGAAGCCTCCAAAGCCTGCGCTCCGGAGGCTTCGCGTTGCTTCCGCTGAAGCCAGGAGAGTCTGCTCTTTGAGGCTGGCGGTGGGGGAAAGCAGCGCTTCCCCCATCGCCAGCCCCAGAGGATGGGGGGCAGCAGGAAGGCGTGCGATGCCTTGCCGCTACTCTCCAACCCGGATTCGAGGCTGGCGGTGGGGAAAGCAGCGCTTCCCGCATCGCCAGCCCCAGAGGATGGGGGGCAGCAGGAAGGCGCGCGACGCCTTCCCGCTACTCTCCAACCCGGGTTTGAGGCTGGCAGTGGGGAAAGCAGCGCTTCCCCCATCGCCAGCCCCAGAGGATGGGGGGCAGCAGGAAGGTGCGCGACGCCCTCCCACTACTCTCCAACCCTCCTTTGGGCTTTTGCAGGAGATGGGGGAATTCCCCCACCTCCCGCAAAAGCAGGCAAAAGCCGCGCGCTCTTTAAAGGGGCTCCACGGCTTCTGCTGACTTTTCTACGGGGGGGGAGATTCCCCCACCTCCTAGAAAAGCCCGCAGGAGCCGCGCACCCTTTAAAGAGCGAGCGGCTCTTGGGGGCTTTTCCCCAAGGAGGGAGAAGGGACTGACTGGCCGAGTCAGTCCCTTCTCCCTCCTGCGGGCTTTTGCGGGAGATGGGGGAATTCCCCCACCTCCCGCAAAAGCCCGCAAAAGCCTCATGCTCTTTAAAGGGGCTCCGCGGCTTCTGCTGGCTTTTCTACGGGGGGGGGAATTCCCCCACCTCCTAGAAAAGCCCGCAGGAGCCGCGCACCCTTTAAAGAGCGCGCCGCTCTTGAGGGCTTTTCCCCGAGGAGGGAGAAGGGACTGACTGGCCGTTTCAGTCCCTTCTCCCTCCTGGTCGAAAAGCCCGCAGCAGTCACGCGGGGCTCCTGTGGGCTTTTGCAGGAGGTGGGGGAATTCCGCCACCTCCCACAAAAGCAGGGAGAAGGTCTTGGAGTAGCGCACAGGCTGCGTGCAGCCTGTCCGCTGCTCCCAGAGCTGCGGGGGGGGGAATCATATTTTTTTCCTTGATTTCCCCCCCTGAAAACTAGGTGCGTCCTATGGGCCGGTGCGTCCTATAGGGCGAAAAATACGGTAATCCACCATTCTGGTGACAGAGGGAGCAAGATGTATTCTGGCTGAGATCATTCTTAATCATGAGTGAAGTCTAAACCAAAAATTATGAGCAGCTGAATTCTCTAACGTTTTCGTGTGTGTGTGTGTGTGTGTTAGCACCATCCCTTTAAAAACTAGAAGAAAAATTTATTTTGCTATATGAGCCACGCAGTTGGAAATCAGGGCCTTCTCCGTATGCCTTCATTATGATACACTAAAATTACCATGGTGAGAGGACCAGGGACATTCTGCTATAGTCCCTGGGCTCTGGAATACTCTGCCTAATGAGTCCAGGTGGTACTTTTTTGCCTACTTTCTGCAACGGATGTAAAACCTTATTTCAGTTTACATTTGGCCAAATTCTTAATGACGATTCTCAGTTACTGAGATGCAATTTTATTTATAGTCTTGGTACTGATTGTGCTTTTTTTTTGCTTTACGTAAGTTGCTCAGAACCCTCTGGAAAAGCGGCCTAGAAACGTTTGATAAACGCATACTAATAATTACTAAAGTTGCTGTTCAGTCAGTTAAGCCCTGCCTCAGTTCAACATACGGTTGTTAGAATTCCAGAACCATAAATGGCTCATCAGCTACGCATTCTGAAAGAGCCCACCAATTCTGCATGTGTCCGTGGGTAGATGATTGACGATACAAGTCTGTGACTAGATTGTTGCTCCACGCATCTGTGGTAGACGATTAATGATGCCAACTCCCGAATTCTGCGTTTATGAAATATGCTGCTACAAAATACACACACAGTTATTTAACGAATACCAAGGAAATCAGTCACACGTCACTAACTCAGAATTTTTATGCACAGAACTTGAGCTTGGCTACAGGGACAACTCTTCAAGGTCTTTGGGTTTTTTTTCTTCCATAGCACTGGACTGGAGCCAGAGGACTAGACTAGGTATCAAGCATCATTCTCATCATGAAGCTATGCAGAATTTGCGCTGGGAGGACACCAAATCAGACCATTGGTCCATCTAGGTCAGCAGTATCTACACTGACAAAAGCTTTCCAAGACGGACCGATAACTTCTTCCCAACCTTGGTTTCTGCCTGATGCCACTGCAAAGAAATAAAAAAGGAGCAACTCATCTGAAGGAATGCATAGCGAAAGAGCAAAAATGAACTTACTCTTTCCATTTGGAAACACAGGCGCATCAAAAGAGAAGGTGGGGGTATGGAGTTGAGGCAAGAGGCAGGAGCGAGAGGAGAGCAAAACCTAGTGAGAAGCACCAAGAAGAAAATATGCTCAACTCAGTTTTAAGAAAACTGCCTTTCTCTGGCAGACAACAGCTGTTGCTGTTTCCAGGGGAGTCAACAGGCAGCAAAGACTCCCACAATGAATAGGAAAACGTCTCTCCGTGATATTCTGCATAATGTTTACAGGAAGATTATCAGATCACAGCTGCTACCTGCAGTTAGCCTTTTAACTAGGTTAATAGGCCAGACCTCTCTTCACTTCATTAAGCTATCACAGTGCCGGTGTAAGAATTACATAACCATTCGGATGAAACAGCCAAACCTGCACTGCCATAATTCTGTCAGTCTAGAAAGGTATATAAAACATGACCCAATAAAAGTAGCACATGCATGTATTATCCCTGGGACAGCCCAGTCTGGACACAACCACATCGACCACATTTTAAACAGGCCTTGAAAACATTCCTGTTTCAATCTGCTTTCAGTTAAGCTGTTGGGCTGGGTATTTTATTGCTTAAACTGTTGCAGGTCTTCGTTTTAACTGTCTTAATCTGATTTATCCTATTTGCTGCACTTTGCTGTGCTGTACAGTGTTTTATAGATTGGTGTTTTGGTTTTGAAATTGTAATGAGATGAGTTCAATTGTATTTTGTGCTGTTAATTCTATATGGAAGACATCTTGGGAGCCCTTTGCCCTGTAAGGCAGCACATAAGTGACAGGAATAAAATAAACAAACAAACTGAAGCCAGGATGGAAGAGAGGTCAGCATGCTTAAAACCCTAAAATCCTCTGCCAATAGGCACAGACTGTTGTTCTCCTCTTCCCCCTGCAGATTTCAAGTCCTGATATTGCAACAAGGACACTTGAGTTATAAGAAACCGGTCACCCTGACCAGTTGTATTGATCCAGGTAGATATTCCCATTTACAGCAATTGGCATAGTGTTTCTGGATTCTGCAGCAATACACAAAAGGGCTGATTCATCTATCATGTTGGCTTGAGGAGAAAGACCAAAGTCACAGTGACCCTTGTTAGTTAGGCTTACAAAGTCAGTAGTTATCATTGCACAAAAACATGAGTAGAGTTCTACTAGACCAGACAAAAGGCTATCTAATCCAGCATCCTGTTTTCCACAGTGGCCAGCCAGATGTCTATAGGAAGCCCACAAACAGGGCCCAAGCATGACAGCCTCCATAAACCCTCCTGCAGGCACTTGAATTATTTTTTCAGCAGCTTAGCTGCCCGTCACTTGCACAGAAAAAAACTTACTTGCCCCGATCCTTCCCATAGCAGGCTGTGCCACTGCCCATGAGTTACTTGCTGCACCTAGCTTACATAGTTCTACAGATCTCAATAGTAACTAAGTCAGCTGGGTACTATTTCTTCAATACAACATTCTTATAAAAAAGTTACACAGCCCACTTTCTATTCCTCATTCATCCCCAAATATCCCTTTCCCTGCTTAAAGGTAAAGGTAAAGGTACCCCTGCCCGTACGGGCCAGTCGTGTCCGACTCTGGGGTTGCGTGCTCATCTCGCTTAAGAGGCCGGGAGCCAGCGCTGTCCGCAGACACTTCCAGGTCACGTGGCCAGCGTGACGAAGCTGCTCTGGCGAGCCAGCACCAGCGCAGCGCACGGAAATGCCGTTACCTTCCCGCTATAAAGCGGTACCTATTTATCTACTTGCACTTAGGGGTGCTTTCGAACTGCTAGGTGGGCAGGAGCTGGGACCAAATGACGGGAGCTCACCCCGCCGCAGGGATTCGAACCGCCGACCATACGATTGGCAAGTCCTAGGCACTGAGGTTTTACCCACAGCGCCACCCGTGTCCCTACTTTCCCTGCTTAGATGACACCATTAAGGACCATGCAAGTAATCAGTTGTCAAATCTGTGCAGGGAGAACAGTCTGAACCTCATTTGCTAAAGCCCAAGATTGCAAAGAAAAAAGCTGTGTTATTTTCTGCTCCAAAGCCACACACACCCCTCTTGCAGCTTCCTTGGAGCTGCCCGGACTGGTTTAGCTTTGCTTTGAAGGGACTGTTGGGTCATGTTACACAGTCTACTACTGCAATAAAGATTGAAATTTAACCTCAATATGCATCTATAAAGTGACAGCTACCAAGAGCAGATCGCTTGGCTTCCAGGGGAGAAAACTGTCCCAGATCAAGCTAAATATGCCTGGAGGAATTTCTCTGCAACAAAAAGCTGCCCGGGAAGTCTAAAGCACAAATTAATGATTCTGGGTTGGGAGTACACGAACATTCTCGTCTCAAATCTGCTTGCCTAGTTAGCAAAAGCAACAACCCCGGAGTGAAACTGCAGGAAGCTGGCAATTTATTTATTTTTAATTTGGCCTCTCCAAAGCTCCAGGTAGCTTATAAATAATTAACATGCAAAATTAAAATCTTGCTGAAAAGAAAGCTGCAATTCATCGCACCAAACCACAATAAAAACAAATTGAGTGTGGCAAAACTGTACACAAGATCTTCTCTCACGTACCCACTGAATGGCTCTCTTGTCCTTCAATTGGCTTTGCCGTTCATTCTCCTGCCGAAGAAACAGGGTTACCCAGAAGCAAAACACTTAGAAGAGTAAGACAGATAGTCAGAGAGGATCTCAGTTGCAGACAATTGTTCTCCAGATCCCTGATGTCACTCTGTCACTTTGGATTTTGGCTCTTCCAACTGAAAAATGACTTCTATTAATTTACCCCACGTAATTTACCCCACATTAGGGGGTGCTATTCCCCCACCACCATCAAAAGAAAGAAAGTGAATGTGTTCATACAACAAGCTACTCCCAATGCAATCTCTGTTAAATTCTGGACAGACAAGGATGAACAAGCTGAAATGCTGTTGGATGGGACTGGATAGATGTGTACTAGGACAACTGCAGATCACATGATGGATCTGCCACAGTTGTTCATGCACTTATTACATCCACAACGGAATCGTGCAATGTTCTGCAGTTTAGAAAACGCAGCCAATAGGATTCACGTTGATTTGTTTTTGTGTTTTTTTAGACTTGCTTTAATGTGAGTTTTGGCTATATTTGTGGAATACGTACACTACACGTTTCAGATGTGTTAGGATTGTGTTAGTTTATGCATTTATATTTCTTTTACAGGATAGGAAAACTAAACACATGCATACAACACTCGGCAGGGAAAATTTTGCTTCATGCCTATGACATGGCACTTTGTTCCAATCAATCTTAAAGGCTATAAAGATGCCTGGGTAAGTTTTGTGCAAAATAATGTTTAATGATTAACTACCAAAAGCTAAAATTACAGTCTTTGGAGCTGAGTTCAGGGATTGGAGCCTTCGGGACTTGGGCACAGTCTAAGAAATGGCGTAGCAATAATCATCCCATTTCAACCGGAAGGTAAACAAGAACCGCCTTGGAACATCACCTTTGCCCCTGAGCTAAAAGACACACCATCCCAACCCAAATGTAATGTTGCCAACTACTCTCTTTTTAGTGAAACTGAATGTATGCTGATTCCATCAGATGGTTAAATACTTTTCAACACAAGTGGGTTTAAGTATCTCTTTCCTCACCCACTTTTCCTGCAGCGTTCTAAAAAGGGCAGATAACCTTGGCTACTTTGTGTGTGTCCCTTAGACAAGAGTTTTTTCTGTCTCCTTTTCAATTTTACAGAACCTGAGATTAACAACATTTTACATGGCGACAGCATCTTTGCTTCATTCTAATTAGATTAAAGCCAACTGTCAAGTCAGAGCTGCTACCATGTGTTTCACATCTGTATAATTTCATGTCAACGTGTTTCATAATCATTTTCATATTCCCTGTATTTTATCGTTCTTCCCCCAGTTTATTTTTCACTATAGAACAGACTAAAATAAAACCTAATTATTGATTCCTGTTTTTAGTTGCTCTGCTTGCCTTAAAAGTATTACTGCAACATATGCTAATCACACATTCTGCACAGCAGCCATATGCTATGAGAAAATACGGTGTTATCATATATGTATGGTTAATAATATATGGGGGGGGAGGGGTGAAGAGGCAAGTCGGCCAACAGTGAAAAAGCTTGCAAAGCTCTAATATACAACTTCTGTCAAAAGTGGTCTTATAGTCCTGTTTGGGCAGAGCAGGTATAGCCTTCATTTTTGCAGACAGCATTTAGATGACAAAGCCCCTGGCCATTCAGAAATGTGATGTGGGTGACTCACCTTGGCAACAAACCATGTCTTCCCGTGAACAAACCACGGCTTCCGACCATGGTTTGTTTAGGGATAAACCAACCACAATCACAGGTCCAGAAGATATACAGTCCACCCAAGTTCATAGCTTGTTGCTTCTGTTCAGCATGAAGAAATTGGGCGGCATGAACTAGCACATTGATCATTCAGAGTAAGGCATAGCCTAGGCCGTATCATGAATCTTTACCAACAATTTTGCAAAGTATCACCTACATGTATTCTTCTGGGTGTACAAAGGTGGAAAGGAAGAGAACTTTCTTTATGTACGCAACAACAGCAGCAAGAATACTCATTGCAAAGTATTGGAAGACACAAGAGCTTCCCACACTGGAGGAATGGCAGATGAAACTGATGGACTATATGGAATTGGCGGAAATGACTGGCAGAATCCGTGACCAGGGAGAAGAGTTGGTGGAAGAAGATTGGAAGAAATTCAAAGATTATTTACAGAAATATTGCAAAATTAATTAATGAATGTTAGAGTGCTGTTGGATTGAAATTAAATGGTTTCTAGCTGCACAGGCTTTAAAGTTATATATAGATTAAGATTAAGGATTAGGAATAAAAAGGTTAAAAGAATGGAAAATTGGCTATTAAAAGATAAAAATTTAATGTTATACTATATTAAGATTAAGGTCTGGTGGAATTGTTTTTAACTGTTTTTTCTTTTTTCTTTTTCTTTTTGTATTTTGTATTGTGTATTTTTCTTTTTACTGTTAAATTCTTTTTTATCGATGTGTCTCTTTTTATCTGAAACTTTAATAAATATCATTAAAAAAAAACAAAGGTGGAAAGGAAGGCACACCAGAAGGACAAGGACAGCAACAGCTTCCATTGTGCACAAGAGAATCTCCCCATGATGAAAATATGCCTGCATGTATAATTTTAAATTAGTCGGGTGCCACACCATTGTAAAAAGATCTGCATTGGCTGCCCATCTACAACTGAGCCAGGTTCAAGGTCCTTGTATTAATTTACAATTTTTTTGACAACTTAGGTCTAGAGTACACTTTAGGGACCACCTGAACCCTTATATCCAAGCTCACTGAGATCATCTACAGAAATGTCATTGGTTGTTCCCCAAGTTAGTGAGGCTCATTGGACAGCAACAAGAAACTGAGCCTTAATTCATCCAGCCAGTACTGTGAAATACTCTGCCAACAAAAAACCAGCAGGCACCTTCTCCTTCAACCTTTAAACACCAGCTGAAAACTTCTCTATTCCACCAGCCTTATGCAGGCAACGAAGAAAACATATTTCCATAATATCTGATTTCACATTTTAAAATTGGTTTTTATTGCATGGTTTTATGTATGATTGGTGTAAAATGGTCTGATTTTTTTTAATGAATAGCAGTACATGTAAAGTATGTTTTATATTTTAAAAGAATCACCATGGTAATATGGCACCAACGGGTTAAAAAGTTACCAGAAAAAAGCTGGTTTGGCAAAGAAGCATTACATATCGAGAGAACACAGATATTATGGAAATACTTCAAGCTTTTTGAAACATACGTGATAACAGTGCAAACATTCCGGTTAAGAACGTGCATGAAGCTAATTTCAGCATGGCTATCAAGATTTTATGAAAAAGATTTCTCATAACCCATTTTTTGCCCAAAATCATTCTTCCATGCCCCAGTTTCTGTGGCAAATAGAGTTACACCAATGATACACTCAGATTAGCCCTATCTAGTCCTATGGAAGTGAGAACTGGACCATAAAGAAGGCTGATCACCAAAGAATGGATGCTTTTGAATTCTGGTGCTGGAGGAGACTCTTGAGAGTCCCATGGACTGCAAGAAGATCAAACGGATCCATGCTGAAGGAAATCAGCCCTGAGTGCTGACTGGAAGGACAGATCCTGAAGCTGAGGCTCCAAGACTTTGGCCACCTCATGAGAAGGGAGGACTCCCTGGAAAAGACCCTGATGTTGGGAAGATCGAGGCACAAGGAGAAGGGGACGACAGAGGACGAGATGGTTGGACAGTGTTCTCGAAGCTACCAGCATGAGTTTGACCAAACTGCGGGAGGCAGTGGAAGACAGGAGTGCCTGGCGTGCTCTGGTCCAGGAGGTCACGAAGAGACGGACACGACTAAACGACTAAAAAACAAGTCCTAAAGGAACACACAGGCAAGGAGGCAACACAAAATCATTGTTACCAGAGGTCTGAAGACAGTTTATTTCATCATCTTAGGTTAACTCTTTCTCTTTCAGTTTGAGGAACAACAGTCTAAAGTCTCAAGTCAAAATCACTGGTTTGCCAGCTTATCCTGGTGCCACAAGTATATCAGTTTAGAGACATGTTCCTTCTATCTAAATAGTGTCTCACGTGGCACACAAAAAGCCGCACATTAAATATCTCCTTTGGTTAGTGAAATCATCCATCTGGGTTCCTCCTCTTGAACCCCCAGTGCGCAACCATCCGAAGTTTATGCACTGCCACATAACTCTGGTGCTTAAAAGCTTGCACTGGCTGCCCATACATTCCCCAGTGAAGTTCACGGATCTTGTAATAGTTTACAAGGCCCTTAACACCTTGGGTCTAGGATACTTTAAGAACTTCCTCTGTCTCTATTAGTGATCCCTCGCATGCCTTGTGTCTACCAGGTGTCCTGCGCACCATATTGTGGGCTCTATCCTGTGCAACTCCCTTGTGGCTGAGAGCAGGAAGAAGCGCCTGACAAAGGCCTTTCCATTCCAGGCGGCATTTCAAAGCAAGTTTTCCATTTTTATTATACTTATTTTTCTTTTCTTTTCTCTGCCATATGCTTTCTGTAGTTTTTATGTACACCACTTAGAAACCTCAGTAATTAAGCAGTATACAGTGGTACCTCGGGTTAAGTACTTAATTCGTTCCAGAGGTCTATTCTTAACCTGAAACTGTTCTTAACCTGAAGCACCACTTTAGCTAATGGGGCCTCCTGCTGCCGCTGCGCTGCCGGAGAACGATTTCTGTTCTCATCCTGAAGCAAAGTTCTTAACCTGAAGCACTATTTCTGGGTTAGCGGAGTCTGTAACCTGAAGCGTATGTAACCTGAAGTGTATGTAACCTGAGGTACCACTGTACAGTATAAATCACTGTAGTAATAATAATAGTAATAAATAATTATTTCCCACCATTCCATTTACAGTGGTACCTCGGGTTACATACGCTTCAGGTTACAGACTCCGCTAACCCAGAAATATTACATCAGGTTAAGAACTTTGCTTCAGGATGAGAACAGAAATTGTGCTCTGGCGGCACGGCGGCAGCGGGAGGCCCCATTAGCTGAAGTGGCACCTCAGGTTAAGAACAGTTTCAGGTTAAGAATGGACCTCCGGAACGAATTAAGTACTTAACCTGAGGTACCACTGTATTTGCAAACACAGTGCACACACAAAAAATATTTAATATATTGTAGGGTACACATCTGCCCCTCCTAACCTCCCTCGTGACAAACAAAAAAGTTAAATGATTTTTTGTTTTTTTTAAAGACAACACACACAAGACTGGAGGAGAGATATCACTCTTCTGACAGCTTGCAAAAGCTCCTTCACCTTGGAAAGACAAGGTGTAAAATGTTCAGAGTGTCATTTAAACACAGCACTCTGTGCGTTACCATGACTCAGCAGCCAAAGCTGGGATTCTGTTTCTCCAAGCTCTTCACACCCTTCCTCCCCGCCTAGATTCTAACTTTGCTTTCAGAGGCCTAAGCAGTTTTCCCCTCTTGACTTTTTTTTGTTTTCTACTGGGCGGGGCGGGGGGGGAATGCCTTCACAGACCACTTTCTCCGCTGCTGGGATGATTAGTTACGGCCTAGCCTGGCCTGGCTTCTTCCGAATGCTGGGAGCACAAGCCCTCTTTCATCTCTCGTGCCAGTGCACAAGGATCCAGCGTTGCACAGAGAAGAGGGGTGTGTGTGCCACTTGAATGACCCAACCATTCACAGATTTCTCCTCCACCGCCACCTTGGCCAAAGCTACGGCTCATTCGCAGTCTCTGTTATGATCTTTTTCCTCTTTAAGTCAATGTAATTCAAAACAAAAAGGTTTCACACAATGCACATTATAAAGAGCACTACAGAGACACCAATACTCAACACGAATGTCTCACGACAAATGTAAACGATTTTTAAGAAAGGCTGTGCAACCCGAAAAAAGAGACAAGGCGTGTACTTTTGTATAGGAAGGAAGGAAGGAAGGAAGGTAGGTAGGTAGGTAGAGGGCAGGGGCCTTGGTTGTTTGTTACGAAGCTATATAATTTTGTGTTTTTATATTGTAAAGCACCCCGTGATCCTCACATAAAGGGCAGTACAGTGGTACCTCGGGTTATATACGCTTCAGGTTACAGACTCCGCTAACCCAGAAATAGTGCTTCAGGTTAAGAACTTTGCTTCAGGATGAGAACAGAAATCGTGCTCCGGCGGCGTGGCAGCAGCAGGAGGCCCCATTAGCTAAAGTGGTGCTTCAGGTTAAGAACAGTTTCAGGTTAAGTACAGACCTCCGGAACGAATTAAGTACTTAACCTGAGGTACCACTGTATAGAAAATTAAGTAATTAATAGAGTGACAATAGCTATGCACTGCCTCTGCAGCTGGAGGCATCGATGCTTCTGAATACCAATTCCTGGAAACTGCAGGAGGGGAGAACATCCTTGTGCTTAGGTCTTGCTTGCCAATTTCCCGCGGGCATCTGGTAGGCTATTGTGAGAAGGGGATTCTGGGCTCCATGAGCCCCTGGGCTAATCCAGCAGAGCTATTCGTAGGAGAAAAAGAGAGCCGAGTCTGAATAAGCAAAACCCAGATTCAAACTCTTCTCACTCGGCCATGAAACTCGTCTCAGGCAAGTCTCCATCAATCAGTCACTCCGGCCCACGTTACAGAGGTGGGTTTTTCTGAAAGGCTAAAAAGGCCTCCTGAAGCTCCTCGGAGGAAGAGTAGCAGACAACATTTTAATGAAAGAGCAGCAGCAGGAACCTAAAAGTTGCTGTTGCAAGTTTTCATTACGAGAGTATAATTAGATAAGGAGTTCTTATAGGTTGAGTCTTTGAAAGGGCACCTGACTTTAAAGGAAAAGGAAACGAAAGCACTTGAAAGTCAAGAGCTCCAGGCACACCTATGCCATTTGGCGAAGAAGAAAATAGAAATAATTTATACAGCCCTTGTAACTTGCAATGTTCTTTCCAGTCTACATCGTCAAGCACTTTTGCAAAGTTTCCATAGTCCATGATTTAATTCCCATTTTACTGATGGAAGGAGAGAGGGAGGCAAGCACAGACCACCTCAGAGCCTGCTCCAGTTGGATTCTCTTTCACCACCAGAGAGGCATTTTACAGCCAACTGCTCCGTAGGCAGGATCCTAGTTCTTTTAAAAACAATGTAGTTTAATGCTTCTCATAAGGCACCTTAGAAACATTTGTTTCCTGAAAGGCAAGATATAATAAATACATGTAACGAATTATAATAACCTAGAGAGCATGGGTAGGCAAACCAAGGCCCAGAGGCCGGATCCGGCCCAATTGCCTTCTCAATCCGGCCCGCGGATGGTCTGGGAATCAGCGTGTTTTTACATGAATAGAATGTGTCCTTTTATTTAAAATGCATCTCTGGGTTATTTGTGGGACCTGCCTGGTGTTTTTACAAGTAGAATGTCTGCTTTTATTTAAAATGCATCTCTGGGTTATTTGTGGGGCATAGGAAGGAATTCGTTCATTATTTTTTTCAGAATATAGTCTGGCCCACCACATGGTCTGAGGGACAGTGGACTGGTCCATGGCTGAAAAAGGTTGCTGACCCCTGGCCTAGAGCATGAGTAGGCAAACTAAGGTCCGGGGGCCGGATCCAGCCCAATCACCTTCTAAATCCGGCCTGCGGACGGTCCGGGAATCAGCGTGTTTTTACATGAGTAGAATGTGTGCTTTTATTTAAAATGCGTCTCTGGGTTATTTGTGGGGCATAGGAATTCGCTCCCCCCCCCCAAAAAAAAATATAGTCCGGCCCCCACACAAGGTCTGAGGGACAGTGGACCAGCCCCCTGCTGAAAAAGTTTGGTGACCCCCAAGTAGAGGCTACACAGAAAGCACTGCCTTGAACATGCCACTATGGCTGTAATCTAGGGAAATGCACAATGAGCTTCGCCCCTCCCCCGAAATGGCCCCAACTGAAGCCCCTTATTATTTATTTCAGTATTTAGGGCCCACAAGAGGCAGTTTAAGAGCAGATCATGCATAAAAAAACAGCATTAAACAGGCAGCAGTCACCTTTATTAGAATGTGTTTAGCACTTGTTGGGGCCACTGGGGCACATAAATCTTCCTGCAGGGACAGGCTTGGGGGTCAGAAGTTGCCCGAGGTTGGCACAGCATGGCCCCACACCTTGCTGTGGGGTAAGGATGGTCTGGGATACAAACTTATCCTCAACATAAAAATGGACAGAAAAACAGCTTACACAGTAAAATGGAAGCTAGCATCAGCCTTCCTAGCGCTGGAATCTCCTTCAACTGGAATGTTTCATTCTGCAACCTCTTTGCATTAAAATATGTTTCTCAAGCATAATCACTCAATGAAGCTCCCAACTAAACGAAATCAGCATTTGAACAGACTATTATGTAAATATGTCAACAGAATTAACATATGTGACTGACCAATTTGTATAAATAAATATTTACACCCTCTGTTATATAACTGAAAAGACTGGATGTAAGGTACCTGTGTTAAGAAATGTTAGAGTCAGACTACTGAAAATCATCCAACTTGTACTACCTCCATGGAGAAATGCAAGTGTTGTTCATGTGGGGCTCTTTTGCAGGGAAGAAATGCCTGAATACAAAAAAATAAATATATATCCTCACTTGCATTTCCTGTTTTGGCATTACAAACACTGTTTCCAGTCATGCACAAAAGTAGGATCAACTGATGTATGTTCACCACATTGCTTTGGAACCTCATCAGAGCATTAGCAATTTAACAGGGCATGCAACTTAAAATGAGAGTAATGCTTTGATGTTTATTTGGTATTGCACTCTCAATTTTAAAATAATAATGGTGCATTTAGTAATTTCTACAGCTGGTAATGCAAACTTTATATAGATGCAACAGGAAATATTCAATTTAGCAATGTTGCCTTACCTGCCATTTGGCTAGCATTTCATTTGGGATCGGAATATCTTTAGTCAATTTCTTCACAGTATTTTGATAACTGTAGGAACACTATTTATAAGCAGCTAAGTCGGTGTGTCCAAAAAGATAAATAACTGGAGTTAGACAAGTCACTCACTCACTAGGTGGTCTTGGAAAAGTTGGAGCTTGTGAGGTTGGAATGGGAAGTGGCTTTGGACTGGGGGAAATTGGGAGGAAATATTGCTTTTTAAAAGCAACTAAAAGCAAATGAAGCCAATTAAGTGGGCAACATCGTTACTTTGCAAGCCTGATTCCCTATTTGGTAATATATGAATCAAAAACAAATTCACTCAGCTCTTGTGAAAATATTTTTAAAAATCTCTACACATCAAAAGTATACACTATTATATGGTAATGTTTACATGCATAATATGTTCTATGAACTTCCTATAGAGTTGCTCAGTTTCATGCTACAGGAGACGAATGGCAAGAAAGGTTGTTTTTGCAATCATTCGTGTTTCTACCTTCGTGTCTTCTCCCTTTCTACAATTGCATAAGGGTACCAGCAAACTGGGAACAAGTAGTCCCACTCACCACTGGACAGGAGCCAACCGTAAGAACACAGAATTAATAGCAAATCAACACATAACAGAGCACAACCCCCATTTGTCAGGCTTCAAGAGGACACAAACGGAAAGCAGAAGAAATATTCAAATCAAAATGGGAAGCGCACACCTTGTTCTTTTCCTGGAATACCTGAAATCCCTGAAGTCACACTATCTGATAGCAACTATTTTGTCTTTTTAAAGGAGTCTGTATTTTTAATTTGCAATGCTAAAGTTTATAAGCATAAAGTATTTTGATTCTAATCAAGCATAGATGTACAATAGTTTTTAACCCATACAAAAGTCCAGCCCTTGCAAGTCTTCTGCAGCTCTTCATTCTACTAGCTAACTCAAGCCACGTTTTTTCTCCTTACACCAGTTTCACTATACAGCCTGCTGGAGTGCTTCACTTAGAGCTTACCAACTGGTGCAGCTGACAGTAAGTATCTGCCGTCCTTAAACACTGCTTATAAAAAGGTTGTTGTTGTTGTTGTTTAATCGTTTAGTTGTGTCCGACTCTTCGTGACCCCATGGACCAGAGCACACCAGGCACTCCTGTCTTCTATAACTTCATGGACAAAGACAACACGCATATAAAAAGATACATCCCACCAAAAACACACACACACAAATCATGAAAGCAACTGGAAATCTTAATAGAACATTCCACGGAACTGCAAATCTACATTTCATTCTCACCTCCCTTCGTTTTAGGGTCTATAACAGGCATAGGCAAACTCGGCCCTCCAGAAGTTTTGGGACTACAATTCCCATCATCCCTGACCACTGGTCCTGTTAGCTAGGGATCATGGGAGTTGTAGTCCCAAAACATCTGGAGGGCCGAGTCTGCCTATGCCTAGTCTAGAACGCAGCCTAAAAGATTTGACACGATAAGTTCTAGAACAGGTTGCAAACTCTCCTCGCAAACACAATAATTTTATGGAAGCTCTGTGAGTATTTAACTGTAGTTGCTGTTTTAAGAGCACAGATGAAAGAGGGGGTGCAATCCATAGAGGACTGATATGGTAACCATTTTTCTCGCCATCATGGCATCCACACAAGAGCAGAGCTGCGCCAAGTGGCAAGCGATCTCCTGCATTTTGGTCCTCAAGGGAAGAAGGAAGGACTCCTTGGTGATTCACAGTGACTAGTTATGATTAAGGATTGCAGAATCATTAGAATTATGTTTGGCATCTGTGTATGAATTGCTTTCCATTTGCTCACCTCAGCATTGAGATGAAGAAGCCTTAGAGAGGTACCTACAAGGGTCTTCTGAGTTGCCCACTGCTGAAGACTTCCATTCTAGAGGGGTTTGCTTGGCCTGGTTAGTCTTAATTTTCATTTTATCCAGCTTACGTGTGTTTGCTGCACAATTCCAATACTATGGAGAGAGGCCAAAGCCATTTGTGTATTTATTTATATTTTTGCCTCTGATTTCCCCACCACCTCCACCCCAAGACCACTTGCACCAAACAGCAGTTGCCATTTGCAATCCTCAAAGGCATATTACTAGGTAAAACTGCCAATGGGCTTTTCCAACCCCTGAAGTGAGAGACACTTCCAAGCCCTCTCAGTGGAATATGGGAGAAGGATGAAGCGTTTTCCGCTACCTCTCAGAAGAATGATTCACTGTGGAAAAAAGAAGTCTCATCTGAGTTTATCTTCTCTCCTTCAAAAGAGAACCATGAAGACAGCGGGGGGGACAGGAGATGGAGACTCTCTGTAGTTGACCTGTCCATAAAAGACGAGTATTCCTGGCATGCAGACTATGTTTCCAAGTAATTTCATGCAATGTGCAGATTCAGAGCTTAAAAGGCTGCTTCAGACTTCTACAAAGTGCAAGAGCCAACACATTTCAATACCATTGCAGCTAACGGTTTAATTAATGTGAAGGATTCCAGTAAGTCACCATTCACAAGTCTCTATATCCAGGAATGAAACAGGAAACCTGTGCTGATTCGAGCACCTGGTCACCTGATTACAATGAAACTAAAGTGCAAACAGGAATAGAAAGAGCCAGAGTTTAAAATGTAATTGTAGTAGCAGAGACTACCTCATTTGACTAAGTTTCCAACACAGAAGCTGTAGAAGTAACTTTCAGTGCAAAGTTCGCATTAATTCAGAAAAATAATCACATCAGTAAATGAAGATGGGAAATTTACTGTGTTTTCTTTAATACATATGTAATCCTTCATTACCTATCTTTAGGTGCCAGGCAGAAACATTCCTCTTGTCCCAGGCCTTTGGCTAATTAGCCAGTCTATGGCCTTTTAAACTGTGTGTTTATTGTTTTTGTTTGTTACCGTGTTATGCATCTTTGTGCTTTTATATTGTGACCCTCAGATGAAAGGCTGTATAGAAATGTAACAGATAAAAAATAAAATAAAATATATTTAAGGTCAAGTTCAAGAAATTGGTATTAACATATAAGGCCCTAGACAGCTCAGGACCAGATTACTTAAGCAACGTCCTTGTCTCTTATTTACTCAGTGGGTCACTGTGGTCTGCAGGAGAGCTTCTCCTTCAAGTTTCAAAGAAAAAGAGGCCTTCTCCACAGGAATGTGAAACAGGGATTCTTGTGGCTGGTTCTACGGAATAGCATTCATGTCAGTATGAGAGGTGCCCACTATATGCAGTTTTCTGGAAACAACTGAAGGCTGGGTTTTCCCAGCCAGATGAATGTGTCTTTTTCGTGAGTGTCTATTCCGTATTGTATATCATCTATCTATCTATCTATCTATCATATATATATCTGCTGTTTTTTGTATTTAAATGTTTTAAATGACCTCTCGCCAGGCAAAGATAGGTAGGTGGCCTGGTCTGCATCATATTTCCCCACATCGCTTGCACTCCAGATATTGTGGACTACACCACTTCCATCGTTCCTGACCATTGGCTATGTTGGCTGAGACTCATAGGTCCAAGACCTAGGGGAGGGGGCACAAGGTTGGGGAAAGCCGTTCCATGTCAATATTTTCTAACTGATGGGTCACTTGACCTCCCTCTAAGATGGTTCATATAATGCATCTTTTGGAGAGCGAAGAAGAGGCAAGGACTAAGATAGAACACCAGGGAAATGGGAAGACATAAACATATTAAAAGGTAAGGATAATATACTAAAAAATTAAAGGTGGTTTCCATATTGCAGGAGAGGGTTAAAGGTGGGTCCTGGCTTTGGAAAGGTTGAAGGCCAGCAACCAAAGCTGTGGAAGAAAGTTTGAGGATTGGAACATGGATTCTGACATTGAACAGCGAGAGGCACAGGCTCTGACCTTTGTAACCGAGTTGCTGAGCCTGTTTAACAAGCGCTAAGCGAGCCTTAACTTTTGTGCAATAACGAACTGCTTCTCTTGTTTTTCCCTCTCCCGTGGCTGCCTATCTGTTCTTAAAACTGCAGCCATTTGGATTTCATCACTCAGTTTCAAGATGCAACCACAGCCTGTACACTGTTAAGGGAGATTTACCTATGAGAACAAGGTTCACATCCACAGCTGTAATAAGCCTGCGTATTTGACTTAAGAGTTCTGTTAAATGGCAGGCAGTGGCTTCTGGGTCAGATTATAACATCTCTGCTGGCTGCCTCCTTATTAATCTAAGCTTCCTACTCTCGTACCAATTCTCGTAATTGCCTCCAGACCCCAGTACGCACGCAGCCCTTAGAAGGCGTATCCTTGAGTATTCTGTGCCCTGCTGTGGAAACAAGAGTACAGTAAGGCAAAGATTTGGTGGGAATTCAAGGGCTCATAAGCAGATTTTTGGATGAACAGAACACTTAGAATCATAGAATCATAGAATCATAGAATTGGAAGAGACCACAAGGGCCATCGAGTCCAACCCCCTGCCAAGCAGGAAACACCATCAGAGCACTCCTGACATATGGTTGTCAAGCCTCTGCTTAAAGACCTCGAAAGAAGGAGACTCCACCACACTCCTTGGCAGCAAATTCCACTGTCGAACAGCTCTTACTGTCAGGAAGTTCTTCCTAATGTTTAGGTGGAATCTTCTTTCTTGTAGCTTGGATCCATTGCTCCGTGTCCGCTTCTCTGGAGCAGCAGAAAACAACCTTTCTCCCTCCTCTATGTGACATCCTTTGATATATTTGAACATGGCTATCATATCACCCCTTAACCTCCTCTTCTCCAGGCTAAACATGCCCAGCTCCCTTAGCCGTTCCTCATAAGGCATTGTTTCCAGGCCTTTGACCATTTTGGTTGCCCTCCTCTGGACACGTTCCAGTTTGTCAGTGTCCTTCTTGAACTGTGGTGCCCAGAACTGGACACAGTACTCCAGGTGAGGTCTGACCAGAGCAGAATACAGTGGCACTATTACTTCCCTTGATCTAGATGCTATACTATTGATGCAGCCCAGAATTGCATTGGCTTTAGGTTCTTTAGGTTCAGGTTCCTTAGGTTCAGGGGTACACTTCTAGAGTTTTGCTTTTCTATGTGGTTGCTATTCCGGTGTTGAAACACACATGCATTATAAGCCAAAGGCAGCATCCCCCCCCCCCGCCCCCACTGCTTCATGTACTGCAGGCGTCAGCAAACTTTTTCAGCTGGGGGCCGGTCAGACCTTGTGGGGGGCCGGACTATATTTTGGAAAAAAATATGAACAAATTCCTGTGCCCCACAAATAACCCAGAGATGCATTTTAAATAAAAGCACATGTTCTACTAATTTAAAAACACCAGGCAAGCCCCACAAATAACCTAGAGATGCCTTTTAAATAAAGGACACGTTCTACTCATGTAAAAACACACTGATTCCCGGACCGTCTGCAGGCCGGATTCAGAAAGCAATTGGGCCGGATCCATCCCCCGGGCCTTAGTTTGCCTACCCTTGATGTACTGTATGTGAAGCAGATCAAGTAGTACCTGAATGGTGGAGAACTGCACATAAATATAGGGTGACTCCATAGTAACCAATGTAACATTTGTAAGCTTCTTTACATAATACTTTGTACTTTAGCTAATATTATTTGAACTCCAATTAACATTAAACTATTTGACCAAATCTGGATAACTAGAGGACTGGCACCTAAGACTCGAAAAGTAGAGATCTGCCCCAAGACGTGCTCCGACCATAATGCCGTGAAAATGGAGATGAAACTAACACTAACCGGTTCCTTCAGATGGAGGATGAATGACACCTTGTTTAGAGATCAAGAGGTTACCAAGAAGGCCCAAAAAACCCTGAGAGACTATTTTGAGATAAACTTGAACACTACCGTCGAAAAAAGAGTAATCTGGGACGCAAGCAAAGCAGTTATGAGGGGGTTCCTGATTCAACAGAATTCATTAAAGAAGAGAGCTCAAAACGAGAAAAAAGAATTTTTTTGGAAAAAATAAAAGAGGGCGAGAAGAAACTGAGAGTGAAACCAAATTCACAAGAGATTCTGAGAGAAATAAAGTTACATCAAGTGCAATATATGAAGATGATGAATCAGGAAATTGAATGGAAAATTAAACAAATGAGACAAAGGACTTTTGAATCGGCTAATAAATGTGGGAAACTGTTAGCTTGGCAGATGAAAAAAAGACAAAAGCTAAACACTATTGCTAATTTGGAGGTGGATGGAAAGAACATTCAGAATCCAGTGGAAATTAGAAAATGTTTCCAGAGGTACTTTAAACAGTTATATACACAAGGGCCTCAGAAACAGTTTGATATAGACCAGTTTCTGAAAACAAATGGATTGCAAAAAATCTCTCAAGAAAATAAGACAATGTTGAATTACAAAATTACGGAACAGGAGGTAGAAGGTGCCATTCAGAATATGCAGTTGGGAAAATCTCCAGGGCCGGATGGTTTAACCTCAAAATACTATAGAACTTTGAAGGACTGGATAATTCAACCACTAAAGGAGGTTTCCAATGAAATTTTGGAGGGGGAAAAAGCGCCAGAGTCGTGGAAAGAAGCATATATTACACTTGTACCGAAAACTGAGTCTGAAAAGACACAACTTAAGAACTACCGACCCATATCCCTGTTAAATGTGGATTATAAAATATTTGCTGACATTTTGGCTAAAAGGCTAAAAAAAGTATTAGGGGAAGAGATACATAAGGACCAAGCTGGCTTTCTCCCAGGCAGACACTTGTCTGACAATACGAGGAATATAATTAACATTTTGGAGAAGTTGCAAGAGGACATTAACACCAAAGCAGTTTTAATCTTTGTGGATGCCGATAAAGCCTTTGACAATATTTCTTGGAGCTTTATGAAGAAAAATCTTCAGGGGATGGGGGTCGGTCAAGGGTTTGAAAATGGTATAAGTGCAATTTATTCAGAACAAAAGGCTAAACTAATAATTAACAATGTGGTGACAGAGGAATTCAAGATAGAGAAAGGGACACGACAAGGCTGCCCAATTTCCCCATTACTTTTTATTTCGGTCCTGGAGGTTTTGTTAAATATGATTAGAAGGGACCATCTGATTAAGGGTATAAAGGTCGGAGCTAAACAATATAAATTGAAAGCCTTTGCAGATGACTTAGTATTGACTTTACAGGAGCCAGAATCTAGTACTAAAAGAGTATTAGAACTGATCCAAGAATTTGGTCATGTGGCAGGATTTAAGTTGAATAAGTTAAAAACTAAAGTCCTTGAGAAAAACTTAACAATGATTGACAAAGAGAGGTTTCAGAATGAGACAGGTTTAACAGTAGTTAAGAAGGTGAAATACTTGGGGATTAATATGACAGCTAAAAATGGGAACTTATTCAAAGACAATTATGAAAAATGTTGGTCGGATGTGAAAAAGGATTTAGAAATATGGTCAAATCTGAAGCTTTCCTTGTTGGGTCGAATTGCTGCTATAAAGATGAATGTATTGCCGAGAATGCTGTTTTTGTTTCAATCATTACAAATTCTAGACAAAATGGATTGTTTCAAGAAGTGGCAGAGAGATATTTCTAGATTTGTCTGGCAGGGCAAGAAGCCCAGAATAAAATTTAAAATATTAACTGATGCAAAAGAAAGAGGGGGATTTGCCCTGCCAGATTTCAAACTTTATTATGAATCAGCAGCTTTCTGCTGGTTGAAAGATTGGCTGCTTCTTGAGAACACAGACATTTTGGATTTAGAAGGATTTAATAATGTTTTTGGATGGCGTGCATACTTGTGGTACGACAAGGTCAAAGCACATAAAGCATTTAAAAACCATATTGTCAGGAAAGCATTGTTTAATGTCTGGACAAGATATAAAGACTTACTAGAAAACAAAACCCCAAGGTGGTTGTCACCGATGGAGGCAAAGGCCCTGAAAAGGCTCAATATGGAGGCCAAGTGGCCGAAATATTGGGAAATTTTGGAGCAGGAAGGAGACAAATTGAAACTGCAGAGTTTTGAGAAACTAAAAGATAAAGTGCGAGATTGGCTTCACTATTATCAAATAAGAGAGGCTTATAATTTAGACAAAAAAATTGGCTTCCAGGTGGAAAAATCAAAGTTGGAAACAGAACTGTTAGATCCTAAAACAAAGATACTTTCAAGAATGTATAACTTGCTGTTAAAATGGAACACTCAGGACGAGACGGTTAAATCTGCCATGATTAAATGGGCACAGGACGTTGGACATAACATTATGTTTGCTGACTGGGAACAGTTGTGGACCACAGGTATAAAATTTACGGCATGTAATGCCCTAAGAGAGAATATTATGAAAATGATTTATAGGTGGTACATGACACCAGTCAAGCTTGCAAAAATCTATCATTTGCCCGATAATAAATGTTGGAAATGTAAAGAAACTGAAGGTACATTCTTTCACCTTTGGTGGACGTGCCCAAAGATCAAGGCGTTCTGGGAGATGATCTATAATGAAATGAAAAAGGTATTTAAATTTACCTTCCTGAAGAAACCAGAGGCCTTCCTCTTGGGTATAGTCGGCCAATTGGTGCCAAAGAAGGATAGAACTTTTTTTATGTATGCTACAACAGCAGCAAGAATACTTATTTCAAAGTATTGGAAGACACAAGATTTACCCACTTTGGAAGAATGGCAGATGAAGGTGATGGACTATATGGAAATGGCGGAAATGACTGGCAGAATCCGAGACCAGGGAGAAGAGTTGGTGGAAGAAGATTGGAAGAAGTTTAAAGACTATTTGCAGAAATACTGTAAAATTAATGAATGTTAAAATGATGTTGGACTGAAAATAAGTGGTTTTGGTAATAAGGTTAATAAGAATATGTAAATATTGATAGTTATATGGATGAAAATATATAGTTATAATAGGTTAAGATACAGAGTAAAGATAAATGAAAGAGGGTAAGGATTTGCTGAAAGGATTTTGTAAACGGGAATACAAAAAGGGGAGGTGCGAGGAAGTCAGGGAAGTAAGGAAATGAAATGTAAGGTATGGAAAGATCGATGTGTTTTTTAAGTGTTTTTTTATCTTTTTTCTGTAATTTGTATTTTTTCTTTTTTATTTCTTTTTCTCTTTCTTTTCTTTTTATCTATGTAATCTTTTCTTTGAAACTTTAATAAATATCATTTAAAAAAAATAAAATAAACTATTTCTGTGTTAAATGGCTTGTTCTTCCCTCCAAGAATAGCTATCCTCATGCTCGAATCCTGCTTCCTGGTTTCCCACAGCGATCTGGTTGCCCGATTTGAGAACAGGATGCTAGATTAGATGGACTTGTTGTAAACTGCTTTGAAGTTTTTTTTGGGTTTTTTACAGCCAAGCAGTGTATAAATTTTATAAAATAGAATAAAATAGATATGCCACTGGCCTGATCCAGCAGGCTCTTCTTATGTTCTTATGCAATATTGCATGTCTCACTTCTGGTTGTTTCACTTGTGTGTAAAATGTCATTTTGGAAAACTGTTTCCAGATAATGAAACTTGGAAAATTTATCTTTAAAGTGATATAGAACATGCTAACTATGGGAATGACAAGTGGGTCTGTAGGCATTTTCATGTAGCTGCCCTGTATTTGCTGCCTAATCCATTTTGGAATAAATTTCAGATCTTCATGAAAGAAAATAAAGTATTGGGCAGGAAAGGCCACAAAGACGGAATAGTTACTGCAGGATATCAAGTGCTCCAGCCAGGCTCCTCCCCATTCCATTTCCCATTCTACGTACTCACAGCTTGCCTTTCTGCTATTGCTATTCTTCCATCATCTTGTTGGGGGCAATCTCAATTTACTCCCTCTCTCATGTGTTAGCAAAGCAGTGGCATCTTGAATAAAAAAAGGAGAAGCCATTGCCCATGCTTCACATGTAGTAAGTCTGAGATTCAGAGGATTCCAGGTAGCCAAGCTGGAAAAGAACCCTGGCCAAGATCCTGAAGGGCCACTACCAGTCAGAAGGAACAAGAAGAAAGATCGGATTCAGTACCAGGCAGTTTCATATGCTTACATTTATTCATAACAATGCATTCCCCCTTGCAGGTGTTCCAGGGCAACCTCCAGACTGGTGTTATTTTGTGGGTGGGATTCAGTCATACAGCAAATTCAGGATCTGCAATTAAAATGGATTTGGCACTTCTTGAGCGACACTCTTCCCCTCACCCACCCAAAACCAATGTTTTGTATTTTAAAAAATGACAGACAAATGCACTGGAGTAACAGTTGGTTGGCATGCCATCTTATGACCTCCCCGCATACCCTGTGAAAGCAAATCAGCACGGATGCTCACTAAACAGGTCATCTGAAAGGAACCCAGGAGTTGCACTCAAGTACCTAGGCCCCATATTGCTATGTACAATCCAAACAGCCACCATCAAACACTGTAAGAGGACAAGCCAGAGTTACAGTAAGCTCTAACAACCCAGAAACATGCTTCTGTGAGAAAGCACAGAGCCGAAAGAATGAGCCAAGGGGTGGAGGGAGGTGGAAGGAAGGGAGAGAAAACATGCAGTCAGCAGCAAAATCGGTGCAGAGTAAAAGCAAGAGAAAACAGCTGCGGATTTCATGTCACCGTCATCCAGCTGCATGCCTCTGCTGCTTTCCTCCAATCCAACTGAACGCATTTCTGGCCGACTCCTACAAAAGCCTCCCCCTTCTCCCCAGCCCACCCCGCCATAGTCCCATGACCAGAAGGAGGGACAACAGCTGCACGAGTTCCAAGAGACCCCAAAGCAGGGTGCTGGCTGTCATCCTGCATTCCTGGACAGCATCCAGAGGCGGCCCTCTCCTAAGACAGGGGCTGCCAGTGACTGACAGATAGCAAAGGACTACTCTATGCCAGCAGAAGGTGGGGTGAAAAAAGAAAAGATTTCAATGTAAATAGAGGAGAGGGGGGGATTTTCTTGTTTAATGCAATTATTTTCCAATCCGCACTTTTAACAATGATTTGTTCACCCATGTATATCAGTCATCCCTGCAGAGGTTTTTTCCTAAGCTTTCTAACAGCATGAGAAACCACTGGGTATATTTAGGGGTAGAATCAACGAAAGCAGGACGATAACTGTGCAGAGACAGTCTCACGGTTTGGTCAAACCCAACGCCTCTCTCCGAGATCAGAACCCCTTAAGAGGGGAATAGGCTGCAGGAGGAGGAGGAGGAGGCAGTGATACACACGGCCATTCGCAGGAAAACTGCCATACAGATGTGCATTGCCAAGGGAATGAACACTCTGGATAGACAAGAGGTCAGTTCCATGGAAGCAATCTGAGAAGGAACACAGGGATAGGCAAAGTAGGGAAGCGGGGTGGGGGCCTCAAGGAAGAAACAGAAAGAAAAGGCTAAGAAAGGCCTTAAGACCAGAGAGCTCTGCACAGGGTGACACTTCGTTGCACTGAGAACAGTTATATAGGGGGTGTTGAAGGGTACAGTGCCCAAGTATGCAAAAGTGAGTAACTTGGTGTAAGACTGACCCAAAACAAACCAGCACCTACTCATGTTTATATAAACATGTCACTGCCTACACATACAGTAGCTGATTGCCAGCTAATTGTGTCCCTAGGAATCTACGGGATCCCACCCAAGGGTCTTCTGATCTCCATTAGCTAGCTAGTGTATACTATAAAAAGGTAAAGGTACCCCTGACCGTTAGGTCCAGTCGCGGACGATTCTGGGGTTGCGGCGCTCATCTCGCTTTATTGGCCGAGGGAGCTGGCGTTTGTCTGCAGACAGTTTTTCCAGGTCATGTGGCCAGCATGACTAAGCCGCTTCTGGCGAACCAGAGCACCGCACAGAAACGCAGTTTACCTTCCCGCTGGAGCAGTACCTATTTATCTACTTGCACTCTGACGTGCTTTCGAACTGTTAGGTGGGCAGGAGCTGGAACTGAGCAACGGGAGCTCACCCCATCGAGGGGATTCGAACCGCCGACCTTCTGATCGGCAAGCCCTAGGCTCTGTGGTTTAGACCACAGCGCCACCCGCGTCCCACACCTGTGTATACTATAATATAGGCTTAAACATAAAGATGTGACATGCATAAAAAATAAAAAATAAACCCTTGCATTATTACCGTGGATCTGTGTCTTCTGTAATGCACACTTCATGTATGTTCTGGGTATGGCAAGAGACATATCACTATGGCAACAATGTGATCGGAAACTTGGCAAGAGGCCGGAATATTTTAAAGGGGTGACTATGCATGGGAGTAGGTCCCCAAGATTTCCATAGTTTCAGGCAAGATATGCATCAATTCCCTTATGCAGGAAACACAGAAAGGCAAATGGGGACCAGGGAGAGAAACCAAGGTGAGCAGACTGAAGTAAAAAGGCTTTATAGGCAAGTTATATGCCTTCTTACTGTAGCTTAGGAATTCAGCCAGTATGTTTGTAAGAAAGAGGGCAAAAGAAATCCATATAAATAAACAGCACCGGATACGGAAGAACATACCACCTAACTTATTACTTGCTGATCTGGATGAAAATTTCTTTGTAACTCAATGTCAGCAGTAGCACAGGGTATAACTGTTGGTGTGACAAGGTGAAAAGAGAAGAATTTTGAAGATTTTTGGAGACTTCCTAAAACACTATGGTTTGGTACAACCATTATGAACTCAATCAATTAAATAGCTGGATATCTATTACCACATAATCCTAAAATTATACTACTAAGCTCCCTTAAAGGTTTAACCAATGACACTGACCTAAAAATTAAGTGTAAACCTACCGTAACTGTGATTGCCAAAATGTGCCCAGCAGCCCAGAAAAAAAAAAGGATGACCTCTTAATTTTTGGAAGACCAATTAAAGAACGGACAAATAGGTTTGTTGAAAGATAGACTTTATTTGTAATATTTTGGAACAATACACTTCTGAATAATATCCAACCATATGCTTATTTTTCTTTATTTTGAGGACCTGCTTCCCCTTCCCCTTATTTTCTTTCAGCACTTAGCAGCCCAATATTTGGCCCTTTTTTATATACAGAAAGAGGTGTGTGTATAATATGAATAAGCCATCAAAATAAAATTAAAAAACCTGTTGACCAGCTCTTATTTATTTAATGTACTATTATTATTCTGCTCAGCAATTAAAATGGGGATGGGGTAGTTTAAATTTACCTAGGTCTGCCTGGAAAAAGACGCCGCCACCAACCTGTGCTAATCACCTAAGGTTGGCTCTAGGCAAGCTAAGGAGCCACATCTCTTATAAGAGAGCAAAACCCCAACCCAGCTGCCAGGAGGTCCCTGGACTTGGGAGGTTCTTACAAGATCCTTGGCTAAAACCAACATGACAACATCAGGTTTATATAACAATATCAGCATAATGCATATGGCATAAACATTAGCACACGGCAAACTGGTGGCCTTAAAATAAAGTGTTTAAGTTAACTGTAAGTATAATTAAACATTAAGAATCTGTGATGGGGTAGTCCAGGGAATGAACTGTCCAGTCAATGCTTCTGGCAGTGGTTCTTCTAAGGAATTTCACTATGAGGAGCTGCAGGAGAGTACTGGCTGTTCTATAAGTTATGCTCTCAGTTCAGAGGATGAGAAGAGGCCCAGCAATCCTAGTCAAGCATCCTGAGGGAGCAGCATACACCCTAGAACGCGTTCCAATTCCTCTGCAACATGCAAGACTCCCATGAGTTACGTCAAAGTAAAAGGCTTGAAAACCACTGGAATACAGTGCCTGGGCAAGCCCTGCAACTCACAAAAGGACTCCCAAAGTCCTTTCCTTATACATTTCCATCTGAAAGCACATACAGAATACAGTGACCCAGGGGTCAGCAAACTTTTTCAGCAGGGGGCCGGTCCCCTGTCCCTCAGACCTTGTGGGGGGCCGGACTATATTTTGAAGAAAAAAATGAACGAATTCCTATGCCCCACAAATAACCCAGAGATGCATTTTAAATAAATGGACACATTCTACTCATGTAAAAACACACTGATTTCTGGACCGTTTGCGGGCCAGATTTAGAAGGTGATTGGGCCGGATCCAGCCCCCAGGCCTTAGTTTGCCTACTCATTTCAGAATAGTTGTGGATTATGCTTAGCAAATATCCTCTCACTGTTATTTTTCCTCACGCTGTCTGCTTTGGCCCTAGTTTTATGCAGCAACGTAGCTTAGTAGTAGATCTGGTTCGATCCTAAGCTTCTCCTGGTAGTGTTGGAAAAGGCTGCTATCTGAAACCCTGGAGAACCTCTGTCAGTGTGTGTAGTGCATTGCTCAGTGGTCTGACTCTGTGTATGGAAGGACCCTGTGTTCCTGACTTTGATGGGGATTGTACTGTCCCTCACAAATATTATTACTGGTTTATTTCTAAACTGCCCTTCCTCTGAGAGCACAAGAAGAGTCTGCTGGATCAGGCCAGTGGGCCATCTAGCCCATTATCCTGTTCTCACAACGGCCAGCCAGATTCCTGTTGGAAACCGGTTAGCAGGATCTGAGCGCAACAGTACCATGTAATATTTACTACCTTACTGAAGGACTAGCAGAACTATGAAGCATCCAAAAACCAGGGTTGAAATCCTGCACCCAGTAAAGTCAAAGGGTCTTCAAATATCTTGCTCAGGTGTATTGGCCAGAAGGGAAATTTCATTGTCCCAAACTGCCTGGTTTCAGCTAATCTAGCATAAAACATCAATAACTTGCTGGAATAAAAGAGAAGAAACTGAAAATGGACAGTCTATGTTTGGCTGGGTATACATAGTTGTACAAACAGCTGCAACATAGCTTTCCTGAGGGTTGGGAGCTTAGTTCCACTTTCAGAATAAATGGCTTTCAAACCTAACTGTTCAGCAAACTGTCCAAACAGTTTGTGCAACTTTTCCTTTGCTTTGCACTGAATATTGTTGATGTGAGAATGGAATGATGAAATCTCAAGTTCGGTTCCTATTTAAAAGAGAAATCAAGTTGAGTACATGTGAGAAGCATGACTCTGAAGAAACATAAAGGAAACTGGGTCAGAGTTGCTTACTTTATTTCAGAGCGGCTTTAGACTGGTTGTCTGTGTGCGTACAGAGAGGGGCCTTTTTCAGTTTGCTGTTTTGAAGTAGGACAATTATTTTTACAAGTGGGACCTGCATTAAGAGATTCAAATCCAGTTTCCTCACTCCTCCCCCAGCCCCAAAACAGTCAGCCTGCAAGCCGTGGCTTCTGAGCATATTCAGCCCTCAGTGGGGCTGCTTGGGGGTTTAATTTTGCCCCTTTAGATTTATGGCTTGCCTTTATTGTGGAACTCAGCCCCTAACATGATCAGAATGAAAAATATTGTGATCTGAACCAAGACCTAAAATCATGTACATATAAATCTTTAAAATTTTATGCAAAATCCCCAAATGCCACTTCCTTCTGCCATTTTTAGTTTTTCTGTGAATTTAGAATAAATTAAAAGAATAAATTATGCAAATTCCAAGCAACTTCCTTGAGTCATCTAGTCCCACCTTCTTATGTATTCTGCCATACTTCCAACATCCTTGGCAGATGTAATTTCATCCTTTTAGGAAGAATTCGTAACTTTCCCTGTGCAATTGTGAGCTCTGTTCCTTGACTGGTAAAGCAAATCAAACTTTCATATATTGCAAATCAAACTTTCATATATTTGCGGTAATATAATTGACAATAAGTTATATTGCAGCTCTATTTATTCGGCGACTTGCCTGAAGTTGTACTAAATAAAGCTCAGTTCCTTCTTGTTGTTGATGAAATGGAAACCAAGCTAACATGTTTATACAACGCAAAGTTACATGGAAAGATCTGTATATTCTTTTCCCAACACAGAAGTGCTCTCCACACGGAAGACGCATAAATGTTTGATGCATCCCCAAGCCCAAATGAGACCCCACTGGTTGTGGCTGGATGCATTCTTGCTAGTTTTATGGAAACAGCCCATTCCAAATACAGCAGTTTGTGCAAAAAAACCCAATCCTCAACCTACCAAACTCTTCAGAGTTGCCAGCCCTAATGTAAATCCAGATCTGGTTATAGTACAGAGAATAATTATTCCAGTTCCTGGGGTGGGGAAGTATTTACCTATAAGGCTCAACACAGACTACCTTACACAAGCAAGTTAGGCAACGGACAACAGACACTTCCAGTTTCATTATGTATGAAATACTCTCAAGTCTTTTCGGATATCAACAATAGGCCCTATAAAATATTACAGCTCTGATGGTGCAACAGGCTTCCATGTGGGTGGAGCTTCCTCTTCCTCTCTCCCAACACACCTTCAAAAACAGCTCTATAAGGTTGAAGGGGGCAGGTGGATGGGGGCGGGGAAAGAAATGGAAGTCCTGTTGCACCAGCAGAACCATATTAGCATAGCACCAGATGCAATTAAATATTTTAAGCCTGTGTCTCAAACAAAAGGTCTCTTTTTAATTTAATGTAAATGAAAGTAGCCTCCCATTGAGGCCAAGCACCTACACCAGGCAAAGGCATACTCGGCCCTTCAAATGTTTCGGGACTACAACTCCCATCATCCCTAGCTAACAGGACCAGTGGTCAGGAATGATGGATATTGTAGTTTCAAAACATCTGGAGGGCTGAGTAAAATATGTAAAAATATTGTCCCCCACATATGCCAGTCAAAACTGTATTTGCTCTTTCCCAGAGTTTTTTTAGTCCCATAGTCTTTTCTCATATAGTTTGTTTTAACACTCAAGTTGCTTTGCTTCTTTTTCTCTTTGAAGCCCAACACAGAACTTTACCTAAAACTTTTTAAAACAACGTTTTCAAACGGTGAAGGATCATGGTTTCTAGCAAGCATAATAGGCAAAACAAAAACATAAAACTTTACTTTCACAAAAATAAGGACAACTCCCCCCATCGCTGAATAGCTTCCCCATAATATTATATCTTGCATTATTGATTCATAATTGCAACTTAGGACTTTGGACTATAGTGTGGGGGGCCTTATCATTGGAACTCCCTCACAGGGAGTTCAGAAAGGCAATGACTATATACAGACCACGGGTGGGATTTAACTAAATTTTACTCAGTAAAAAGTCAGACCCATTAATTTCAATGGGTCTACTCTGAGTAAAACTACCACCCACATTTTATGGTGCCTGTTGAAGGCTTTCCTCTTTCAAAAGCCCTCTAAGTCAAGATTTCTATGGCCAGTTGGTATGTTTATTGGACTTGAAACTGCTTTATATATACAATTATTTTAACTGTTTTTTAAATACATGCAATTGTTTTAGATATGTTTTTATTGTAATGCAAAATCAATTCAAAATGCTTCATGAGAAGAGATTCATAAATGGAATAAGTAATACTGTACAGTAATAGTAATAAGTTCTGACTGCTTCCCTTTCAAACTTCCCGAACTAGCAGCAATCACCAAATTTCTCTCCAAATCAGCTCATTACAAATATACTTGAACAATGTAAGCTTAATAATAATAATAATAATAATAAACAACTAAGATTATATTTTCAAATGCATGATGCTCAGGAGTTGGGGTAAAATACATAATTCCGAAACAGTGTTAAGATACAAGACAGCCATTTCTATAAGTCACAACTTACTTTCCATAACAAACTGTAAATTAGTCACACTTATGAATAATGCATTTCTTCTCCAACCTGGGTTTAATGTATCGTGGGTATTTTCTTTGGTTGGTTGGTTGGTTGGATGGATGGAAGTCACTCTGGGTTGCCTTGGGCAAGATATAGGGACTAAAAAATTTAATAAATGAAATAAAATATTCATGCTTGCCGTAAGAGGAAATTTGTGCATTAAAAAAAAAAAAAAAAGCTCAGCTGATGCATCAAATATCTCCATTTGATAACTTAATCCCCAAATATCATGCCAAGTTCTTGGAAAGAATGCAAAAAGGGCAATGCTGCAATATTTGACAATGCATTGCCACATATCTCGTCAATCTGTTTTTCTTTAATCCACAGCTAATAGCCACAGACTTAAAGAACAATCCTGCAAAAAACAGACTCCTTTGTCCATATATTTGAAATGAACATCAGCTTGATCTACTCCGCACGCCGGCGGAAAACAAAATATTTCATCACCACTGAAATATGGTTTTATACTCAAGTTTTTCTATTTTAGGTCGTTTTCCTCCTTGCGGCCGGGGGGGGGGGGGGAAATCCCTCTATAAGTAGGCAAACCTATCTATTCACAGTTCTTGAGCACTCTTGCAGTATTAGAACTGCGAAGTATTAAAGTTTGTGCATGCGCCTACACACACCTCCCAATAAAAACCAAACACCCGCCGCTGGAACAAATGAACCCGGTCAATCCAGTTGAGAGCATATTCAGGAATTTGCTTTGAGTACTAGAACTAGACAGGGTGGATCTGATTTAAATCAAATCAATTAAATTAAATTAAATCGATCACGATTTAAATCACGATTTAAATCACTAGTCAGTAAGACTTGATTTAAATCTCTCTTTTTTTACAGAAAGACTCATTCTTGCTGGTATAATCTTAATATTTACAACAGATGGTTTCATTTTTGGAATAATAAATTTTCAGAGTACTTTTTACAGTTATATCAAAAATTACAGATTTGGTTATACTATTAGAAATACATAGACAGATAATTATGAAATTATTATGAGGTTTAATAAGTTAACTGTTTATATTTGCATAACTTTTCTGATGTACTTTATTGGAAAGAGAAAAATAATCATTTCCTTAATAACAATTTAAACAATTTATTTAACTAAAGCAATAACATTATAACACATGTATCCATGTTTGTTAACTGTTGTGGTTAAACTTAAAAAAAAACTTAGACTGAGTTTTAGCACACATGAAAAACTTAAAACAAATCCTTATTTTCTGATGAACAGCCTTTGGACTATAATGTAACTTAAATAGAAAACTATCTTTAGAAATATTTTTCCTCCAAAAGAATTTTATTTTAAAAATCTGATTTAAATAAAAAAAAAATCCGATTTAAATAAAGAAAATCTGATTTTTGATTTTTTTAATTAAAAAAATCACTGATTTTTATCCACCCTGGAAGTGGAGGACCGTAACAGTTCTTCCCCATTAAAATCCACTTCTGTTTAACCCACATTGTCTATGTTTTAGCAGCATAATCCAGAGGGGTGGGGGTCATTTTGTTGCCGCTATTGTTAAAACTTACAGATCTACCGCAGATCACCACATAAGGACGTCACGGAGGCCAATGGCCCATCTAGTCCAGCATCCCGTTTTCATCTTAGTCAACCAGCAAGCAAGACACGAGCACAAGAACACCCATCTCTCATGAAGCCTACTGCGACTAACCATGATAGGAGAGCTTAGCCACTGTGGTCAGCAGCCACTGATTGTCTTCTCCTCCATGAATCTGTCTAATCCGGGGGTCAGCAAACTTTTTCAGCAGGGGGCTGGTCCACTGTCCCTCAGACCCTGTAGGGGGCTGGACTATATTTGGAGGGGGGAATGAACGAATTCCTATGCCCCACAAATAACCCAGAGATGCATTTTAAATAAAAGGACACATTCTACTAATGTAGAAACACGCGGACACATTCTACTAATGTAGAAACACGCGGACACATTCTACTAATGTAGAAACACGCTGATTCCCAGACCGTCCACAGGCCGGACTGAGAAGGCGACTGGGCCAGATAGTTTGCCTACCCACGGTCTAATCCTCTCTTAAAGCCATCCAAGATGGTGGCCATCACTGCCTCCTGGGGGAACAAGATCCATAGTTTATTTAAGGATGTCACTGTATTTTGTTAAAACCACAACTAGAGCTCTTGCTAACTTCATCCTGCGGACTAATATTTCTTCATATGCAGAAGATTTACACATGCAACCAACAGAAAACCATTTCCAACTCTTCTTTCACTTTTCATTTCTTTTAAACTCACACACCCCCTCAATCCATTTGAAGGAAATTACTTGGAATGAAACCAGTTCTGCCCCATTGACCTCTGGTATTTTTCTTTCTTCAGTTTTAGGATAGATTTTAATGAACTCATTGTTTCTATGTGGTGTTCACTTTTAATTGAATTTATATTGTCAGTCACTTGGGCGGGGGAGCGACTCCAGGTTAAGAGACAGATTATATAAATGAAGTCAAATGAATGAACAGACATTGGATTTAAAGAAGTCTAAATTGATGCCACTCCAGATATTGCAGGTGAACATTTAGTTCTCTCTCACACACACACATTTGCATCCTGCCCTTCTTCCAAGGAGACAGCACCTAAAAGACTGAGGATGGCCCCAAAAAGGTCTGAAAATACCTGGAAGCCTCTTCCCATTTCTGAACTACAAAACCTTTGCTTATTTTTAAAACATAGTGCGGTTTACTTCAAAGAATACTTTCCAGTTTTTGTAATGTAAACCAGTTGAATGATTAGAATACACAATAAAGGGTAGGATGATGACCCAATTCTCAGTTACTGAAACGTCAACATGTGCCGCAGTACGTAAAGGTGCAGTGCTCTCAACCCACACTGGAAAAAAGTTTCCTTTCAGTCACTATTTATTTCCATCCTGAATGTCACATTCAGCAAAAAAAACAAGTCATTCCCTCTTTCCTACCCTTGAGATTAATTCAAGAAGAGGGTCACTTCCAGGATGTGAGCTTCAGAAACTTCAAGTTGCCTGTAGTCGAGGGTAGGAAAGCCGTTTACATGCACTCAAACATGAGATTCTTGCATATAATTGTAATGCCAGTCAGCAACATTATGCTGCAGGTGTAACGCATTAAACCATATTATCTATAAACACATTCACTAAGCTGATTTGATAACACACTAGAGCAGAACTGGCAAGTGCCTGGAAAAGCCTTTTATATGAAACCAAACCATTCAGAAGGCAACACAAATGGGGCAGTCTCTAAACATAAACTCTAACATAGCACCAAGTCAGACCCGCATCACCCTCAGTCCTTATTCAAAGACTATTTCATCCCTTGCCCTTAAAAAAAAATAAAAAATCCATCTCTTGAGCTCAAATTACCCTCCAAACCATCCGATACCTCATTACCATCTTGATTTCCTTCAACCAGAAAAACTGCACAAGTACAGGCTCTCTGAAAGAGGAGTGTGTGAACAATTAATGTGCATAAAAGAGTTTGCTGCCTCTGCTTTTGATAATCCAACTGATGATGAGATGCAACATGCAAAAGCAAAGAGGCCACACTTAAAAGCAGCAACGGAGAACACCTACGCTCCCAGCCCACTCTCTCTGTGCAATGAAGACTTCTGCTTACAGGCCCCCTGTTGCTGTGGGATTGTCACCAGCACCATCAACGGCGCATCTTTGCCCCAATATGGGCCCGTCGCACGACACCCTGCCCCAGCCATGTTTACGCAGTCAAAGCAGCCCAGACTCTTAATGACCAGTCTGGACAAGAAGAAAGCAGCTTCACTACTTTGCTATTAAAACTTGCGGGTGGTTGTGTGCAGTTTTGCAGGAGAACATGAACACGCGCGCATGTCAAAAGTTTAGGTGTGGGAGAAGAGTAGGCAAGTTTTCCCTACTCCTGAAAATTGCACTTTTCATCTGAAATTTTAAAGGGGAGGGTGAGGGAGGGGGTGTATGTGGCACTTGACATAACCCAGAAACGAGCAAGAGCATTCCCCACCTACAGATTTTTAGTTAATCGACTTTGAACCACCATATACACACTTCCTCCCAACCGAGGCGCTCTCTCTGCCTCTGTACACACAAATACTTGCTGCCACTCTCCTTCCACAAGCCTCCGATTTTAAGACTCAAGTGTCCTCCTGGTCCCCTGCTAAACTGACTCTTCCCAGGATTTGAAGGTGGGGTACAAGCCCTCCCATTCAGAGCCAAAGTTATTACCGTTGCTTCACCACCACCACCACCACCACCACTTCTGATTTGTTGTGGGGAGGAGATAATGTCAATTCCAGGAACTGCTTTCTACTCTGGTTTAACCAAAGATGTAAAGGGAAACTGGATGGTACACCACATCCCCACAGAGCCTGGTGCTGCTCCCTTTCTCGTTGGAAACCCCTTCCCATACATTCCACCAAACCCCAGGCACCCCCTTCCCACTCCATTCCCCCCTTAACTATTCCCCATAACTAAAGATCACTCCCACACAAGCACACCTTCTCTCCACTTCTCTACAGATCGCCTATGGGGTGGACTTTGGTAATATGGCACCCTGCCTGAGCAAAGGCAAAACTGGGCAAATCCCACCCCCCAATATTTCTTATTTTCACAATAACTGAGTATGTACCAGTATAAATACAGAGATGATGTTGACGATGATGATTACTGCTGCTACTACTTTGCACCCCCTCCGCTCTGCACCCTGTGTGAGGGAACTGCCCACCCCCACCCTAAATCCATCACTGCTGGGATCTTCCATTACTCCCCAGTTTTGGGGTACTTTGCCACCTTCTCTGGCATCTGACAGATCCCTCTGGGAGATCCTCTCACCGGCCTATAGCTTTCCAGCTCCCTAGGGTCTTAGTTACCCATTTTTTCATTGCACAGCTCCCTAATCTGGGCTGGGGAGTGCAACCCCTTTGACCTGTCTGCACCGATTTGGGGGAAAGGTCTTCTTCCTGCGGGAGGGGGGTACCCCGTGTGTCCCCTTGCCCCCACACGCCCCCCTCCTTCCCCACCCCAAAAGAAGCAAACTCCCTTCTATCTGCCACAACCTCCTCTTGGCACAGAGACCTCCCCCCGGGGGACCCCTGCTCTCCAGCACCCACCAAACTCCCCTGGCAGACCCACCCACCCCGCGACGACCCCCCTCCCCAATCGCCAGGCTTTTGCACCAACACGCCCCTGCCCCCTTCCCTGTCACACCCAGACCTCAAAATCATACAATCCCACCCCCCAGAAAGCAGCCCTGCTCCTTCTGCCACTGCTCCTGGTGCAGCGCCCACCCACCCAAAAAAACGCACCCCGGACCCCGCCCCCTCCTTCGCACCCACCCAAATCGCCCCTTGGAGGACCCCCCCAAAAATGCGCCCCGCCCCCTTCTTTAAACCTCCCCCCCCCCGCGAGCTTCTTCGCCCCCCCAACAAAAATAATCAATTTTTGCAAACTCCCCCAGCCCCCAAAGCTGCGCCCTCCCCCCCAAAAAAGCAAGCCTCGGCCCGGGCTTCCCTTCCTCGCCTGACAGCTCAGCCCACCCCCGGCGGGCTCACCTGCTGCCTCCGGCCGGGCCGAGGCCTCCCTCCTCGGCGGGGAAGGACCGGGGGTCGTCGCCTTCCTTGGCGGCGGCGAGGAGGAGCGGGCGCGCCCGGGGCCGGCGAGGAGCGCGGCGGGGGCGGCCCTCCCGTCCTGCTCGGGCGGCGGGTGCTGGCGGTTCTCGTCGTCCTCCTTCTTCTGGGGCCCCGGCTCCCTTGGCGGGGCTCCTGGGCGCCCGGGGCCCCCTGTCTCCGCGCTCCCTCAGCCTGCGGCGCCTGCTCCGCCTGCTCGGCTCCCGAGGGCGGGCGGAATGGCGAGGGGGCGCGGAGGAGGAGGAGGAGACGGGGCGGGACGGCAAGGCAGGACGGAGAGAGGGAGGCAGCCGCGAGAAGGGGAGGCCGCCGCCGCCGCCGAGGCGAGGGGCCGAAACCGCCTCAGCCGCGCGCCGCCATCTTGGGCAGGCTGGCAGGAGCCGCCTGAGGGGAACCGCCGGCGCCTCGTCCTCCTCCTCCTCCTCTCCGCCCTCGGCCTCCTCCGGCCACGGGCAGCAGCGACACCAGGCCGCCCTCCCCTCGCCAGCCCGAGCTCGACGCCGCCGCCTCACGCTCGGGAAAGAGCGCCTCTAAGCATGTGCAGAGTTCGCCGGGCGGCGGGCGCAGCAGCTGCCTGTATCCTCCTCACCAGGCGTTAGATATTAACGAGAGGCTTCGTTTTAAGAAGGGGGGGGGTGTTCTGCTGCTGCTGCTTTTCTCCCTGCAAGTAGGGGGGGGGAGGAGGGACAGCCATAGGATTTATTGGGGGGGTGCAGAACCGAGTTATCTGAGACGCAGTTAATCATTTTTTATTTATTTACTTGGTTTAGGGGGCAGCTGCCCCCCTCTGTACCCCCCCGGCTACACCCACCCATGCACCCCAATTAAATAGTTGAGGGGGCTGCCCCCCGCAAAAAAAGTTGATGGGCATTGCCATTCCAGTGGTGGGTGGGTTGCACGTCAAGTGAGCAATTATGCAGGGCAGAGCTCACCTGTCATCGTCCCCCCCCCTCCAATATTTTATTCAAGTTGGCCCCCCTGGTGACAGCCATAACCTAAGTGTGAGTGTGCTTGGCAGGGTATTTAGGGCAGCATTTCCCAACCTTGGGCCTCCAGCTGTTTTTGGACTACAACTCCCATAATCCTCAGCTAGCAAGACCAGTGGTCAGGGATGATGGGAATTGTAGTTCGAAAACAGCTGGAGGCCCAAGGTTGGGAAACACTGATTTCGGGCATCACCTGCCTGTGCATGTGGTCAGGGTGCTTCTGTTGTACAAGGCGCCACTTAAGTTGACAGCGCTCTTTGAAAAGCAGTTTAAAAGTAAAATCCGCAATCGCGGGTTACCAACGGGCAGCAGGCCAGCAACGCATTCCTGTGCGGCTTTACTTGGAAGTAAGCCCCAGTGCCATCAGTGCGCCTTGCTCCCCAGTAACTGTGCTGAGAGGGTTGCGGAAAGCACAGCGCATTGGAGGCGAGAGGGGCTTCAGACTGTGCAAGCTCAGGAGCTATGCTGCTAGCGGGCAGGTCGGTCCATTCGCACATTAAGCACAGTGGCATCACACCCAGCTGAGCCACCGGTTGCTAGCTAAATGCAAACGGTCAAGCGTTTTTATTCATGGCTAGCCTCTCTCGGCCCTCTCCTCGCCAGCTGCCTTGCAGCTTCCTGGTGAACCTCTTAGGTTTATAAATCCATATTTCCGCCCCACAATCTATGACGCTGGAACATGAGATGCCACATTTGCATGGCGGCATCTCAGGATCACTGGCTGGCACAGTCTCTTTCGGTCTTCAGGTGGGGGCTCTTCGCAGCCCTACCTGGAAATATCCAAAGGTCGGACGCGAAGGCTTTCTGCGTGCAGAACATGCGCTCTGTCACTGAAGGGCAAAATAAAAGTGGTTTTGCATTTAACACGCAAGCCCTTTTGACAAATAAAAATAGCATCAGCTGAGGGTGGGTCACAGTGGGCACAGAATGGGAACTCATCCTTGCCTCTCCATCAGAGCCCCGAGGAAAACCTTTCTTGTGAATGTGCTACTTATAAACGCGCAATAGGAGCCCGGCTGGGTCAGACCAAAGGCCTGATCCTTTGGTGAATCACATGGGAAGCTCACAAGTATGGCACAAGCGCTCACCTGCCGTTGTCTCTTCAGCGACTGGCCTTCAGGTGTACACAGCTTTCGATGCATGGCATAGCATTATACAGCCATCACAAATATTAGTCATCAATATTCCTCCGTGAATTTGTTCGATCCCCTTTTTAAACCATCCAGGGTAGTGATTGTTACTACTAAGGCAGCCAAGGGTAGCTTGGGAGTCCCGTGAGGGGGAGGGGGAACCTGGTAAGCACAGACCAGCTAAAAATATTTACACAGGATATAAAACAAGTGTGTCATCTCATGTTTATGTCAATCATAAATATGATGGTATCTGTACCTGTTGATAATATGAAGAGCCTAAAGGCTCATGTCAAAAATACAATCGCCCTCACGATCGTTGCTGAACTAACCATGCACTTTAAATTTTTAACTTGGATGTGTAACACGACAACTTTATTGCATTTGCACAGTGTTCACTTACGAAAACATGTAAATGCGACTGCTTAGAGTAAGATGAAATTGCACCGTCGTACTGTCAAAGCCCAGAAGCGTATAGAGTCAGAAATGCTCTGTTCACTGCACAAGTTTGCAAGCCATTCAGAATTGTGCATATACTGAACGCAAGATATATATTTTAAGAGCTACATAAAAACATATGCAAGATAATGGGGTCCTTCCAAGCCCTAGTAATTTGTAGCAGCTTCCTGCCCTCATCATGCTCTCTCATCGGCCCTAGTTACTGCATCTTCAAGTAATCTTAATCTCATACTCTAACTTTGTGTTGTGTGAAGTACTGTTGCCTATCCTGAATCCAGGTGACCTGGATGCCTAGTATTTTGAGAGAGAGAAACTCTCTACTTTCTCCACACCATCATTTATGCTCCTCTAGGAGGACCCGCTTACTGGTATTTTTGCTAAACTAAAAAAGGCCCAAGTATGCTGAAGGGGGATTTCCTCCCAATGCAAGTAGTATCAGTTTCTGGAGGCGGGTGGGATGTTCCATGGAATGCAACTGGGGAGGAAAGACTTTAATTTCTCATCCCCGCCTGCTGCAGTCCTAAAAATGATCAGCCCCCACCCTCTACCTGACGCGCTTTTTGTATTAAAAACAACCACACACGTGTGGTTTGGGTCTGAGCTACGGCCCTTTCGTACTCTGAACATCCTTGCCATATGAAGTGTGAACCAGATCACAGCCGCGTTGTACAGCAGCAGCAAAGTCGCAGATTACTTAACCACAAATGCAACTTGCGTTCGTGTAGACGCCATCAGTCATGCCATTTCTGGCAGCCTCGCCATAGCATATCCTGGCCCTGATACATTCTTGGAGCACAGCACACCACTCGGCCCACGCAGTTGCTCAACCCACAATTTTACCACACACAAATCGGCCTCAAGATGACTTCACGTGCACTCGCCATGCTGGAAATTCGTGTTTAGTACACTTGCTGCTCATTGTGCGTAAAAATACTTGTGTGAGGAGGTTGCTTCAAAACTTGTCGGGGTGCTCGTTGCCCCGGAACATCCTCTCTGGTGAATAGTCACCAACACTAGTCAATAGAAAATATGTGAAAATACATTAAGTGAAAATAAAATGCTGAGTGTGGTGAGCAAAATTAATAATATTTTTTTTCCACAAACTTCCTGTGAGTGCGATTTGCTGCCCAAGAGGTTTTTTTCAAATCCAACTTTCACACAATTCACTTCTTTAATTTTCTGGTGTGCATTGTTATAGCTGCCTAATACTTTCAGATTCTCAAATTCGGGATGTGCTAGCCAACTTCTTTATGTCTGCTCACTAACATAACCCAGATGTCTGAAGATCAAACAAAGTGGGCTGGGTTCTAAATGGGGAATTAGGAGTGTGGCCTGCATGCATTTTCTTCATACTTTATTTATTTGTTTATCTATTTGTTGCCTGCCCTTCACCCTACAGTCCCAAGGCAGGATACAGCATTAAACACAATTTTTTTTAAAAAACTGTGTACTGTAAAGCAGCTTACAATCACCAAAAAAATAAAACAACCCGTACACCTCAAATATCAAAAGCCAGGGTAAGTAGGTGCATCTTCAGCATTCTCTGTAAGCTGTATAATGAAAATGCCAGGCGCACCTCTGTGGAGAGGAAGTTCCACAGCTTAGGAGCCACCACAAAAAAGTCTCTGCCTTGAGCCTCTGCACACAGAGGGCCTCCTCTGCCGACCTCAGCACCCAATACGGCCTTTGAGATACTTGGGACCTGAATCACTTAAAACTTTAAACAAAATAGACAGAGGTGGGACATGGATGCATGTAAGGTAAAGGTACCCCTGACAGTTAGGTCCAGTCGCGGACGACTCTGGGGTTGCGGTGCTCATCTCACTTTACTGGCCGAGGGAGCCGGCGTTTGTCCACAGACAGCTTCCAGGTCATGTGGCCAGCATGACTAAGCCGCTTCTGGCGAACCAGAGCAGCGCACGGAAACGCCGTTTACCTTCCCGCCAGAGCGGTACCTATTTATCTACTTGCACTTTGAAGTGCTTTCAAACTGCTAGGTTGGCAGGAGCTGGGACAGAGCAACGGGAGCTCGCCCCCTCGCGGGGATTCGAACCGCCGACCTTCCGATTGGCAAGCCCTAGGCTCAGTGGTTTAACCCACAGCGCCACCCGCGTCCCATGGATGCATGTAACTGTTCAAATTCAATACTCGCCAATAACCTGTGTGATCCCTGCTTGTGCAATGCTCTCAAGAGAGGCTCTCCTGGCACCTTCATTACCTATTTTTAGGTGCCAGGCAAAAGCATTCCTCTTTTCCTGGGCCTTTGACTACTTAAACAAGCCTTTTAAATTTGAGGGGGGCAGGGAGTTATATTTGTTTTGTTGTTGCTGCTGTGTCATGCATTTTTGTGTTTTTATACTGTAAACCCCCCTGTGATCCTCTGATGAAGGGCAGTATAGAAAATAAATATGATGATTTATTTTCCTGTGCTTCCACCCCAGCTAACGTCTTCATAAGCACTGGGTTCAGCCCTATCTGTACATGCAGCCCAGTCTCATCCACGACATCATCGGACCCATTAATCCAAGCCATACGCTGCCCTTCCCCTGATTTCTAACAGGTGCAAGCCGATCCTCCTCTGTCCTTCCATCGGTATCAAATCCACAACTAAGACCTCATTAACAAAGCCAAAGGTTGCAACAAATACATCACTTCCTCGACAGAGACTGACTCGAGCTACCACCTGTTGCTCTCTCCTCCTGGCATGGCAGGGGCACGAATTCCCAACAATAGCCTTCTTAAAATAAGATCACTTCTGCAGTGTAACTTAGCTGCTTGTCTGTTTTCCCAGGAGCGGGAGAGAGCAGGAAGCTGATACGGTTAACCTCTTGTGTTGAGCAAAACATACACATACTAGTTGGATTTAAGTATGGGAGGGATAAGGAAACAGTCCTGATCTTTGAGACCTGGACCATAGTCACGCAGCTTCCCGGTGCATTCTTCCTTACCTGAATATAAATGTTCGTGGCAACCGCATGACATGGGCAGGATATCTTGGGTGTTTCCAAATGGGGTGGATGCTATTCATGCATGCAAGTTTTTCACAAAGTCCACATGGTGGCAGTATCAAAATACCAACCTATATCAGGCTCTCCAAGTGCCCCTGTTTTCCAGGGACAGTCCAGATTTACAGAAGCCGTCCCAGTTTCAAATTTGATCCTGTAATGTCCCGCTTTTCCTTAGGATCTCCCTATTTGGAGTTGTCCAACCCCCAAGCCATTTGAAGGCAGCCCTGTTGCAATATACTCAGAGTCGCAAAGTGATTTCATGCTCTTTATTCAGCTCATAGTGGTGAGGAGGAATGAATGAATGTCCCCTCACAGTATCTGCTTTATATACATTATTTACACAATGGGCTGCACATGATTGGTTAATTCTGGAATTCTACTGTAAGCCAATCAGGTTGTGGATTCACTTCTATCTGGAGCAGGATTGGGTGGTTCCTGCCAACCAATCATACTGCTGCATTGTTCTAGTCCCAATCAGACTGCTGCCTTTTGGATCCTATTGTTCTAGGACCAATCAGACTGCTGCAGTTTGGATCCTATTCAACTCAGTACATAACACCCCTCCCCTCTAAGTTCCAGTCCTGCCCGGGAGGTCGCATTCATAGTCCTCAAGGTATGCCGGCAGCCTACGTGTGCGTTGTGGCCTGGGGTGTTCCCTGGTCCGGGCTCCAGGTTCTGGCTCGTGTACCAAGGATGCTGGCTGTGATGGGGCTGTTTGATCTGGTGCAACCGGCTCGCTCAGTCGTGGTTCTGGTTCCGGTGTCCTTTCGGCCTCACGGGTCCTCTCTGCATTTACTGATTCTGCCTCTCCTGCTGGCCCCTCCTGCTCTATGGGCCTCACTGCCCCGCTGTTCCCTTGGGACTCCTCTGACCTGTCCTCCTCCTGGTTTTCTCCCGGGAATCGTCGCCGTATCTGGTCGCAGTGGCGGCGCCAGCATTGCCCCCCATCCGTTAGCACCTCGTACGACACGGGGCCAGTGACCCTGGTGACTGTGGCGGGTACCCATGCTGGGCCTGCCCCAAAATTCTTTGCGTACACTGGGTCCTGGGCCTCGAAGGTCCGGGGGTTCCTGCCTTCCACTACCTCATCCTGAGCTCTATCGGGGTGAAGGCGGTCCAATCTGATTGCAAGGCGCCGACCCATTAGTAGTTCAGCGGGGCTCCGGCCAGTCGTTGAGCTGGGGGTGCTGTGCTGTGCTAGAAGGAATGTGGCAAGGCGGTACTCCCAGTCCCCTTGCGTCATGCGGCGAAGGGTGTCCTTGGTGGTCCGCACCATGCGTTCTGCTTGGCCATTGGTGGCAGGGTGGAACGGTGCCGAACGGATGTGGCGGATGGCGTTCTGCGCTGTGAAGGTTTGGAATTCTCCTGACGTAAATGCAGTCCCGTTGTCTGAGACGAGAGTGTCAGGGAGCCCGTGGGTTGCAAACAGCCTGCGTAGTACCCGGATGGCTGCGGACGTGGAAGTGGACGGTACCAGTGCGACTTCCAGCCATTTGGTGTAGGAGTCCACCACTATGAAGAATGTTTTCCCCTGAAAGGGGCCAGCGAAATCCACATGCAGGCGTGACCATGGTGCTCGGGCGGACTCCCAGGACTGGACTGGGGCCCTTGGGGGATCTGGGTGGGATTCTTGGCAGGCCTGGCAGTGTTTGACCCAGGCCTCTATCTCTCCATCGATCCCCGGCCACCACACATAACTCCTGGCAAGGGCCTTCATTCTTACTACCCCTGGATGTGTCTCGTGTAGGGCTGTGAGGACCCTTTTGTGGAGGGGCTGGGGAACAACGACTCTGCTTCCCCATAACAGGCACCCCTTGTGGGCTGACAGTTCATGTTTGCGGGTTGTGTAGCCGGCGAATTCTGGCCCGGGGCTGCTGCTGGGCCATCCCCTCCACACCCAGTCCAGGACCCGGGAGATGACCCTATCTTTCTTGGAATGGTGTGCAACTTCTTGTGCCTGAATGGGGCGGTCGGGAAGCAGCTCCAGGCTCATAACCTCTTGTGCAGGTGCTGGGTCAGGGCCTGTTTCCGGTAGTGGTAGCCTGCTGAGGGCGTCCGCATGGCCCATCGCCTTCCCAGGTCGGTGAATCAGTGCATACTGGTAGCTGGCAAGGAAAATTGACCACCTGAGGACGCGAGGAGACAGCACTTGGGGGGTCTGCTTTTCGGGGCAAACAAGCCAAGCAACGGCTTGTGGTCAGTCACCACGGTGAAGGGCCGCCCGTACAAGAAATCATGGAATTTTTACTCCCTTTACGATTGCCAGACCCTCCTTGTCGATTTGCGAGTAGTTCCGCTCGGTTGTGTTGAGTGTCTGGGAAAAGTACGCCACCGGTACCTCTCTTCCATCCGGGAGTTGGTGCCCCAGGACAGCTCCAATGCCATAGGGTGAGGCGTCGCATGCTAGCACCACCGGCAGCCTCTCGTCGAAGTGTGCCAAGACCGAGTTTGAGACAAGCAAGTCCTTGACTGCCTGGAATGCGGCCTCCTGGCGCTGGCCCCACACCCAAGGGGCCCGCTTGTCCAGGAGTCTGTGTAGGGGCTCCGCTACCGCCGCCTTGTGGGGAAGGAAGGAATGGTAAAAGTTCAATAGTCCCAAGAAGGCCTGAAGTTCAGTCTTGCTCTTGGGTGCTGGGGCATCACAAATGGCCCGTACCTTGTCCCCAGTCGGGTGGACCCCTTCTGCGTCCACCATAAATCCCAGAAAGTCCACCTGAGGCACTCCTAGTAGACATTTTTCCCGCTTCACCTTGAGACCCGCCGTCTGGAAACGGTGCAGAACGGTGCGGAGGCGGTCCTCAAACTCCTCTGGTGTGGGCCCGGCAATCAACACATCATCGAAGAAGGGGGTGACGCCAGGAATCCCTTTAAGGAGAGAGTCCATTAGATTCTGGAATATGCCTGGTGCCACGCTGACACCGAATTGCAGCCGCTTTACCCTGAACGCTCCTCTGTGCGTCACAATCGTCTGTGCCTCTGCTGTGGCCTCATCTACTGGCAGCTGTTGATATGCTTGGGCCAAGTCCAGCTTGCCAAAAATTTTCGACCCAGCCAGGGTGGCAAGGACATGGCTGACCACTGGCACTGGGTATGCGTGGGCCGTGAGGGCCTTGTTTATGGTACATTTGTAGTCTGCGCAGATGCGGACCGAACCATTAGGCTTGACGGGTGTGACGATTGGGGTTTCCCAGGGGGCATTAGGCACCGGCTCCAGCACTCCTTGCTCCACGAGTCGGTCCAATTCCTCGTCTATACGGGGTTTCAAGGCGAACGGGACCCGGCGGGCCTTGAGCCTGACCGGTCGTACTGCGGGGTCAAGCTGTAGCGCAATGGGGGGGCCCGTATACTGTCCCAATTTCCCATCGAAAACCCCTGGAAATTCCTTGCATATGGCGTCCACGTCCACTTGTAAGCTAGTGTGGTTCACCCCGGTGACAGCTAGCCCCAGTGGTCCAAACCATGCCAATCCCAGTAAGCTAATGTAGGGGCCCTTGACCACAAGCAAGTCCAGTTGCCGCGTCCGCCCTCGGTATTGCACCCTGAAGGTCCCCACCCCCATTGTGGGGACCTTACGTTTCTGGAAGTCCCGGAGGGTGAATGGGGCCGGCCTGAGTTTGGGACCCCCAGTAGGACACAGTTTCCTTAAGGTCCTTGCCGAGATTATGGATAGAGTTGAACCCGTGTCAAGCTCCATGCGGCAAGGGGCCCCCTCTATCTGTACCTCTACATAAATTTTCTCTACGTTGGGGTGGGGCAACTGGTATACCTGGAAGTCCGTGAGCTCCGTCGAGTTGCCTTGGTGCGTTGGGCCCCGGGACCTGGGGCTCTTGGATTGGTCATCTGATGCCTGGTGTCGGGTGGGCCGAGCCCGACACACCCGGGCGATGTGTCCCGATTTTCTGCACTGCCTGCACTCTGCGTTGCGGAAACGGCAGGTCCTCCTCTCATGACTCTCCCGCAGCTTGCGCAGTTCCCTCCTTCTCGTCGAGGCAGCTGTGGTCTGTGCGCTGCTTGAGTGCGCTGCTGTACTCGGTGCACCTCCTCCCTGTCGGATCTTGAGTCGTCGGTGAGGTCTTCGTGGTGGACCCTCGGTTGGGATGGCAGGCTCGGCCGTGCCTCTTGGGTCGACCTCTCGGCAGCTTCTGTTGCCAGGGCCTCCTCCAGAGCGACCTGGAACGTTAGGTCCTTCTTAGCGTAGAGGCGTCGTTGCAGCTTCTCATCCTTCAGGCCACCGACGAGGCGGTCACGAAGCATGTTCTCCAGCTCTGAGAAGTTGCAGAACCGGGCGGCTTGGCGGAGGGAGGTCACAAACCCAGTTATGGTTTCCCCAGGGGCTTGCCGCTTTGCGTAGAAGGCATTTCGACGAGCCACCACTGAGGGCTGCGGCGAAAAGTGCCCCTTCAGCTGTTCCATTATTGTTTTGTATGGAACAGTAGCGACGTCTTCAGGCGCAAGGAGAGCCCGGGCGATTTCAAACGTCTCCTCTCCGCAGACGCTGAAGAATATCGCCCTCTTCTTGGCGTC